TGGAGTGAATGTCTGTCACTGTAAGGTGGGGGTGTGGAGCAGATATGTCTGTCAGTGATGTGGTGTAAGTGGGGGTAAATGGAAGGATGCACTGTGAGTGGGTACTGTAGTGGCTGGGAGGAATATGCAATGAGCTGGAGGTGAGGTGGCTGGAGAGGGATGCACTGTGAGTAGGAAGAGTAGTAACTTGGAGGAATATGCTGAGTGGCAGGTGAGGTGGCTGGGGATGGATGCGCTATAAGAGGGTAGTGTAGTAGCTTGGAGGAATATGCTATGAGTAGCAGGTGAGGTGGCTGCTGAGGGATGCACTGTGAGTAGTATAGTAGCTTGCAGGAATACGCTATGAGCAGTAGGTGAGGTGGTTGGGGAAGGATGTGTCGTGGTGGGTCTACCTTACGAGAACTGGAGTGGATCCTCAGGCTGGGGTCCAGTGTTGGCTGCTGTGCTGTGACGGAGCTCCATTTGCTTGTACAACCCCCTTGCGCGCCCTGTAAAGATGTCGGGAGCCACAATGTGATGTCACTCCGGTCCAGGCACCTTTGCATGACATGCGAGGAAGCTATAAGCAATGCAAGTATGGATGGCCCTCGCTCGCGGCCATAGCTCCACCCCACCATAAGCTGACGCTTTGCGCCAAGTAGCATATGAATGGCTGCTTGGTGCGAGAACTGACAGTGCTACGTTAGGGGGAGTCTGAGAAGCCTCTCACCTAGAAAAGTGGAAGGTACGCTGCAACCCACTTAACACGGGGTCGAGACCCACTGAACAAGGGGTTGCAACCCACTTTTGGGTCGCGACCCACTAGTTGAGACCAAGGCTCTAGACCCCTTTGTCAATTCTATAGCATTGAGTAGGTCAGCGACCAGACATTTTGGTTCTGTAGCTCTCCTCCATCAGTTTACCCCATATTAGCACTATACTCTATGTACACTATAGTACACTATGTCAGTTTACTGGAAGAGTAGCGCCAAAACAGAATCAATATGTTTGATACAATTGGCGAACTTGAACATTTATTCCAATATATGCAAACCAACATTCCCTGTTTTGTGCAAAGTTTATAAGACGTGTGTATAGGTGCAAAGAGTTGATATAGTAGGGAGCTACCAAGGGCATGTTACAATCCATGCCTCATTGACAGAGATGAGATACTTCCTCTGAATAGCTATTATTAGCTATCCAGTGACATCTGGTGACATCACATAGACTTTGGAACTGTTGTCATCTGACTGTCCACTCTGAGCCTGAAGGGGACGCTGTGTGGCCCCGAAAGCGCTTGATTTTCCAAATAACATTAAATGGATTCACACTGACCCATGTGTTTTTGTCGTGCCTGGTGTGCTGGTGACATCCTCATCCAAAGTTGTTCTATCTGCGGCGCCATCCGCTGCCTCTTTGGGATTTCCGGTAAGGAGTGCTACAGGACTTGCGACGTCTGACTGTATTCAATTCACAAATATTTTATTCAATCAGATTTGTTTTTCCTGCAGTCAGTGAATGTAATCAATTTATTAGTAAAATATGGATTCTTAATATGGGTAACTGTATAGTGCCTTTTACGGCTTTAATTTAGTGTTAACAAATAAGGACAGTTCAGTCTTACTGAATTTTTCTGAATGTATTCAATGCTAAGTGAGCCCAAACAAATGTACGTTTCCGGAGAAATGTAGGTAGAATGTGCTGAGACTTCTCATTCTACACCGGCAGGAGACACATCAGGAGATTTTTACATTTCCACTATAGACCTGTATATTTGGTGATAACATTCTCATTACTTAAATGGTTAGTTCACCTTTACAAAATCATTACCTATGCATAGCAGCGTCCATATTAAAAAAAACAAAACACTGCTCAGGTTTTGAAAAAGAAGCTTCTTTCAATGGCATACCTATGGGCCATGTATGGCCTCTCATAAGCCTGTCCAAACCATTCCTAGGTAGGTTACTTCCCCCAAGTCCTGCTTAGATGGCAGGATGCATTGGGTGTTGAGCATGTAGCCCCCAGTACTGTATGAAAAGCGCTCTGGCACATGCACAGTGCCCTGTCTCTCTCTGTCACACCATGCTGAGCTCAGCCACCGCTGCAACAGAGGGAGAGAGACCACACTGCTTTTTTGCTTTTTAATTATTGTATTTCAGCTCTTTTATTTCTTTAATGGCAGTTGTTCTTTAAATAAGCAAAAGAGGGCATTGTGTAAGGAACCAAGGCATCATAGTTTTTGCACGTTTGTATGTGAGGTTTCTACTAGCTTTCAAGTTGCATGTTTATGCAAGTTTAGTACATTTTTGTGCGTAGTGAAATGCGTGCACATGAAAACAGGCAGCTTGAGAAGCATTGGCCGATAGACAATAAAACACCCAAAAAAGCTATTGTACTTTTTTTCTGCGTTTGGCATTTTGCTGCTGGCGTTTTTCTGCTCAGGTGTGCTGCCCTTGTATTAAGCCTTTTGAAGCTCATTTTCTACTGCTCAAAAGCACCTAGGTGTGAACAGGGCCTTAGAGCTATCCCTTAGCACACCCCTGCTCAGAGACAGACAGAGCCCAGTACTGGATATGTGAGCAGTGATTGAGGTAGCTGTCAACATTGCGCACAGGGCGCTTGACTGCTAGCCAGCTTATTATACTAAAGCTACATAAGATTTTTGGACAGTAATATAAAGGGTATCTATATATACATATGGCAAAACATATACCATATCTTCTACTCTCTTCATCAGAATTGCCCATACTGTAGCACTACTGACTTTACATATACACTTATCCCAGTCTTCACACTGGCTGGAGGGAATAATAGTTGTCTAATGTGTCTGAACACCACGAAATGAGGCAGGCTGTACTATAGAGAACAAGGCAACATTTCCCCAAAACCTAATGCGGTATCTTGAAGGAGAAAACCTAAGAAGGCATCTTAAAGGAGCAAAGTGTAAAAAGTACCCAACATTGAGAAAAGAGGGTCACTCTCTGTAATGTATGTCACCTATACATTGAATGTCTGTGAAACCTCCTGTAGTAAAATGGGATTATATCTACTTGAATTGCAGGAAGAGCTAGTGTCCTTTCTCATTTCTTTCACTTGTATAGTACGTGTCTTTTCATACGACATACATTGCAATAAATCATGCTATTTCCCTTTTTCTATCCTGATGTAGAAATGCTGGGATCAAGGATGGGGATGTATTGGGTGAGAATGGAGATTAAGGAGACTCTGATGTGCTCAGGTCATTCAAGCTACATCTCTAATACCACAATTATTATTTTGCACTGCAAGGGTTAAGTGCTCATTTGTGTCTAGGGATAAAAATAACAACGTTATACTCACTCGAAGCTCCAAGCTGACCAGCTGTCACAGTGCTCCATGTAGCTTGTATCCTCCTCCACAGCAGCATTGGAACGTTCCTCAGCATCCTCACATCTATACACTGTGTATAGACATGATTATTTGTGACACCTTATACCGATGCAGAGGAGGGGGAGAGACAGAAGAAGGACCGGTCTAAGAAAAAGCCGGCTGTCTGTACAACTCCATAGAGATTCTCATTTTTGGAGAGAAGGCCTGAATGGACATAGTTACTATTGTGATCTCTTTATCAAATCAATTGCAAAACTGGTGTAACAGGCACACTCTTTTAGAATAACCCCAAAAATAATGTTTTTATATAAATAATAAAAAAAATAGTACAAAACAACCATTTTAAAGCCCAATTAAAATCATCTAAATACATTCCACCTGCATGAAAACAAAAGGTGGGCAAATACTTTCTTTTTCTTTAGAAAACAGCCACATTCTGAGTAGAAAACATTTTCCCTGCCAACATGCTGTAAAGGAAAACCCTAGGTCTTTGTATGGAAGCAGTGTTCTCTCTCCAGAGGTCTGACACAGTCAGACCTAGAGCTGTCCAATCATCAGGGAGCACCAGCTTTGCTGATTGCAGAACTATAGGTCTGACTCAGCAGGTAGTGTGTTGGACCTCTGTAGAGAGACCACTGTTTCCACACACAGAGCAATGGTCCTGCTCTACGGGCTTTTCTACCAAGGATGTGGCTGCTTTCTAAAGAAAACAAACTGTAAGACCTTGCACACCTTTGTTTTTGATGCACTGGGAATGTACTAATCTGTTCTAAGTTCAATTGGGCTTTTAAATGTAAAAACCTCATTATATACTATAGTATCATTTTAAGTAGGGATGTCCCAATTCCGATACAAGCATCAGTATTGGGACCGATCCAGGGCATTTTGACAAGTACTTGTCAAAATGCCCCGATACAAAGCGCCGAAGCTTGCGCTATGTTTTTGTTTGTTTTGTAACTTACTGTGCCATGTCGCGCCGAGCGCCGCGTCACTGCTGTTCCGGTGGGCGGCACTCCAGGCAGTCGCCAGCCACCTAAATAATGACCCCCACCTGGAGCACCGCCCACCGGAGCAGCAGTGACGCGACGCTCCTCTCCAGCTCAGCGCCGACGACGTCCTCACGTGTGAGGAAAATCGTTCGGCACCGCGATCGAGGCAACAGTGAGAAAGACGGGGCCTGGGCATAGTTTTTTGTGTGAACAAGAACAATCTACTGCTGCAGTACATTCTACATGTACTGTAGTTGTACTACATATAGAATGCACTGCAGCAATAGATTTACAATTCTGCACTGCTAACATGAATGGGTTAAATGATCCATAGTACATAATAGTACATAAGATGTAGTTGTACTACGGATCATTTAACCCATTCATGTTAGCAGTGCAGAATTGTAAATCTATTGCTGGAGTGTAGTGGAGGTGTGTGCTGTATATATGTACTACATATACATTACACACGTCCAGTACACTATAGCAATAGATTTACAGCCAGCCCCATCCCATCATAACATGTAGTTGTACTATGGATCATTTAAAGTCACCTGTCCCTTTTAAAAAAAAAAGTATCAGTAATTGGTATCGGCATGTACATTAGGGGAAGTGAAAAAGTGGTATCCTGACACCCCTAATTTTAAGGTAAACGACTTTTCAAGCCAATTCATATTAAATACAACATTTTATTGGCAAGTATTTATTTTACACTGTAGCCGACCTTTCAGCATATATCATATCATTGCAGTATAAAGATCTGCTTCCTGAAGTTTCCCACTAGGTGGTGTTATGTTTAGCTTCATATTAAAACTTTTCATACAAAAATAAAGCACTCACATTTACCTATTTACAAGCACTTTGACCATGCTCTTATGCAAAAAGGTATCAAGTAAAGAAAACATCTGTTGGCCAAGTGCTACCAAAATAGTTTAAGTATCTTCATAATAAGGCGGTTTATAAATATGGGTTACCGTTCTATTAGCTAAGTCGTCTCTTAATTTAAAATACAGCAGATAGATGATGTACAATATACTGGCTATAAAGAAAACTTAATACAACATGGTAGGGTTGGAATTTTAACATTACTGACTTTTGAACTCTTTAAGAACGTACAAATAATTGAAACAAATAAACTGTACACACAATTGCACATCATCATTCCCTTTCTTCCGAAAGTCAGAATAAAAATAGAATTTAAGACTCAAATATTCACAGAGGCAAAATACTAAACTCCAAGCAAAATGCTTGCTGCTACACAAAAAAATGCTCCTGGAGAAGGCTGCCTGCAGCACTCCGATAGTTTCCCTTGACGAAAACGAGCGGTCACTTGGCCGCTAAGTGTGATTTCAGACTGAAGGCACGTCACTCTGCATGATAGGCAGTTCTTGTTTTCTAAGGCAATTGTCAGTGTGGAGTAGTACAGCTTTGGGGATCTTGCTGGCAGTTTTAACGCTTTAGGCACTGAATCATCTTGGCATGGCTTGGCGAAGAGATGAGAACTTTTCCAGCTAATCATATTTAAAGCACCTTTTGCTTATGTGAGACCCGGGCAGTGTTAACAGCTGATATGCAAGAGGCGCTGTCTTCACCTAGAACTTCCTTGGCTGTGGCTGCTCTCAGATCGCGTAGTACTGAACCTCTTCTTTACGATCATGCTGATGTAGGCCTTCATAAGCTTTGCAATATCAACCACCTGTATCAATGAGAAAAATATATATTAGATCTCTTTGTACATAGAATAATAAGAAAAGCTCTGACAATGCCACTTCAGATTCATATGGCTTATGGCGGAAGGATTCTATTTATGGTGTAAAAGAAAGCAGTTAGGCAGCTAGGCAGATTGATAATATGTCACACTTCAAAGCAGAACTCTGGCTTTTAACCTTTGCGGTGAGGCTACCCCCACACTGCAAGGGTTAAAAGAGACCTGTGAGTACTTTTCACTCACCTCATAGTTCTAGCCGACCTGTGACAATGAGACTGACAGATCGGGAAGTGAGCGAACACATACCAGCGTTCGCTCACTTCTCGATCCTGTCACGGCTCTCTGCTGTGACAGGGGAGGGGCTGGATTCCCCCTTCCCGCTCCGATCCTCCAGCGCTGACTGGCGGAACGGATGGGAGAGGGGCGGGTACAGCTGGCTCTGCCTCTAGATAGGCAGAGCCAGCTGTCACTCACACAGCTGGGCGGATCCAGACATAATTGTCGGGATCCGCTTCAGCTGCGGCGTCTCAGTATACGGCCAGCTTACTCTTAGACCAGTCCCTGGAGCCTCTCTCCCCCTCTGCTGCAGCACTCTAAGGATCCTTGAGTCACCACATTCTATACAGCGTATAGAACGTTACAATGCAGAGGGACATACCATTGCAGCAGTGGAGGAGAAGATAGGCTTCAGGGATAAGAGTAGCTGACAGCCAGCTCCAGTTCGGGTAAGTATAACTTTTTTTAGCATCTAGACAGAAAGGAAAATTCTGCCCAGAGTTCTGCTTTAACAAATAAGTTAAAGCAGAAGTCTAGGAATATTTTTTTTGCCAACTAACATTCCCATGTGCCCCATCTCCGGAGGGCCACTTGGAATGCTGAAAATTACTGTAGTAGTCCCCACTACATACAGTGATAACCATCATCTTCCAGGTGCTGCTCCAGCAAATTCCCCTCTATACACTACATGCAGGGAGTCACTTGCTTGGCACCGCCGACATTCAGGGAACTCCTTGTATGTTTTTCGATGAACACAAGGTGTCTTCTGATTGGACAAGGTGGAGAGGAGGGGCAGATGACATCACAATCTCCACTCCTCCAAACACAGAATGTCTTGTATTCATTGGAAAAAATGTGTGTGCAGTGTGCAGAGAAGCCACTGGAGCCGCATCCGGAAGAGACCAGCTATCAGTGTATGCAGCGAAGACTACTACAGTGATTTTCAGCATCCCCTGTGGCCCTCCTGATATCAGATATGTATACTTACACTGAGCCAAGTTGGACCAAAGTAAGTTTCCAAAAAGGATAATTTCTGGAAGTGGCAAAAAAAAAACATATGCAGTACATCTCTGCAATATATGCAGAATTCCCAATCTTGTTGTGAATGAAAACCCAGTGCCTTTTCTGGACTGAAAATGCAAGAAATGGTGTAAGCCCTGCCCAGTTGTCTCTTGGTAAACTACAGAATCATCATTGTTTTGTTTTTTTTGCACCAATCAAACAGATATAACAAAATGCTTTCAATGGTATATTTAGATGCAGAAACTAAGAGAAATTAATTATTAGGGTTCACATACACTCTAAAGCACTCATATGGCTAAATGTACAGTACTTATTAAAATATATTATATATATTTAATGAACTTGTCACAAGTCTGAACAATACACACTGAGCATATAATTACAATAAGAACCACTAGAGTTTGATGTTTTACATGTCAAAACAATCACAAGATCTAGAGACACTGGCAGCTGTTTTATATGTAAATCTGAACTTTTCATGTAAAGTTTTGCTTGACTCCATACACCTGCTTCCCTATTAGTCCTTCAATGTGATAAACAATTTGCTCGTCCTATGAGGTGGGGGGGGATTCTTGAGCAGTCCATGTTCAGTTTTTTATTTTTTTTAAATTATAACTTCAATTGAATACATCTCCGGATATATTCGCCAGCTAGCTCTGCATTTTTTTCTACAGACAACTTCTGGTTTTGCATTTGATAATCATTAGCTTAGTTTAAATAGTCCAAGTTTGGATGAGTTTATGTTTAATATTCGCAGCAATCATGTCCTTCATCAACCATAAACTTATCAGTCTTATTAAAATGTTTGCTCTCTCATTCTTGCTCACCACGGCAACGGGCTTGCCTTTATTCTATTAATCTATTTGATGTCAGTGTGCAGGCACACTTCAACTATGAACATACCGCACTGGTTTCGAAGAGAAGTTCCCTCTCGTCAACAACAATCTTGTACGTATTGGCAAGTGGAGCACCAAAAGAAAGGATGTGTTCATAATGAAACACTTCCAACGGTCTCCCCTCTCCTCTTTTGTAGACAGAAACAGCCTCAACACTGACACCCAGCCACAGCTCTTGTGGGAATCCACCTTCTTTGCACTGAAATAATGAAAAAAGCAGAAACAAATGTGAAAACAATATGTAGGATACAAAGAATATATGGCAAAAAAACGATACTTTATAAAAAAGTTTAAAACCTATGTGATCGGCTAATAATAAATAAACTGTTACATAGACGAGTATACTATACTATATATTTACTTTTTTTGCACATAAGACAAGCAGCATGTAAGAAGGAAGAGTGTTATTCTGCTGTCTCGCATGACAATCAATGATAATTAAAATAAGGACCTGTAGTCAACTACATTAAAACCCATTTAGTAATAGTATGCTCCTACCTCAACTTCAAATAATGTTGATCCATAGCCAGGCCATTCTTTTATCAGAGCCATATACTTAGTCATGCACTGATCTGGATTTATGCCTTGCAGTTTCTTCCATTTGTCTGTAATATTGGCTTTGGTTGACAGGACCTCTTCTTTCATCCACATGTCCAGCATTTGCTCCTCTTCTACCCTCTGTTTACTCACAGAGCCACTTCGGAAGCTTCTTCTTAAAGTTCCTTCTAAGAAACTAGACCTCTTCCTCTCAGATCTTTCAAATGGTGTAGAGGCTTTAGTGGATTGAGTTACACGGGCCTTTAGTTTATGCACTGGGTAAAAGTCTTCCATCTCTGGCTCATTAGTGTGTAGACCGTAGTCTCCCTGTGAATACTGTAACCTTAAGGCTGCCAAGGCTTGCAAAGTTTCCTCAGGTGCTGGGTAATGACCTCGAATAACAGCTTTATGTGCCTGAAGATACAAGGTAACTCGGTCAGCAAATTACTGTACATATGTTAAACCCATGTTTCAATAAAGTTACTTACAATAATCTATAAAGTAGGCCCATGGCACACTTGCAATCCTGACACTGCCAAGGAACAGGATTGCTGGATCGGTGAGGCATTGCTCCCTTGCTGCCAAAAACACTTCAGAATGTAAGTCGACTGAAAGAGCGCGCCCCCTCGCTTATGCAGCTAGTGAAGAAGGTAGAAGCAAGCAGTTCAGTATTTCACCTTCCTGCTGTGTCCTCCATAGAGACCCTGCTGCTGGAGACAGGATCGCAAGTATGACAACAGCCGTAAGCCCGGGAGACACTGCATGCGAAGCCGTGCGAAGCAAAGCAAAGCTGCGAGGCCTGGACATTCACATACAGTGTGTGAGAGCTTGATTAGCTGAAGTCCATAGTAATCTATATGGATATAGTTGATATCGTTGCTGGGGGTGCAGACAAGTATTGCCAAACAATAAGACAAACAAAGCTTGATTCGCTGAGCGCAGCCAGCTGAAAGACTGCATCTTCAGCCAATCGGCTCACGCATAACAACTCAATCGACTTCGCATTCTGACACATGGGTTTATACGGGCGAGCCATTTGGCTGGAGATTACATTTTTCATCTCGGCATGCTCAGCTATGCAAGCTCTCGCGCGCTGACGCAGTGAAAAGGAGTGAAAATTGTCCGCGTACTGCCGCTCCGCGCTGCTTCGTGTGCAGTGTATCACAGGCTTTAAACGAAGAAAAATGCCGTCAATGATCACCCTCTCTATTGGTAGAATTAGAGTATGAAACACATTTCTCAATCAATAATTTTTTGATAGTTATTCTGCAAGAAATAATTGAGGACAAATCACAAGGTGTGTTTATGTTTTTTCATTTAAAAGCATTTTTTTACTAACCTGCTCAAACATGAACACATATTCAACACTGTCCTTTGGCACATGTTCTGTATCCAAGAAGCAGTAAAGTTTAAAGAAGAACTTCCATGGTCGATCTCCTGGTTCAGCACTGACAGCAAGCCTGTGGGAAAGAATAACATGGTGTATAGTCACTTACTGAAATCCAGACAAATGCAGGTTATTATTTGTGAAAGTCTAACTGTAATGGTGGACCAGAAAGAAACTCTGTGCTTTGCTTTAGTAACATGCTATGTTCGAGTCGAACATAGGTTCGACTCGAACGCGAAGCTCATCTCTAAGCAGGACAAGGTTCACTTGAATGTTGTTTCCTCTGGTTGCTTATACTTTCCTTCTCTCTGCTCTCCTGCAGCTCTATTCACACAGGGAAGAGAGAGGAGCAGAAACCTTGCGTAAGCATGACTTGGAGCTTATACAGTGCTGAGGACTCTCTTCCCATCTCCATGTGACAGCACTGAATGATTGAATGGCCAACTGCAAAGTCCTAGCATTGTTATATAGGATGAAGGGGGTCATGTAGCATGCTTGTCCTTACTTGGAAATAATATATACATCACATTGCTTCCTTTGTTAAATGCAGAAAGGGAGAGAAGGCAAGGTAAGAATAAGCATAGGCAAAGGCCATGGTCAATTTGCAAGATAAATGCGGCTAGAAATCACAAATAATGATTCACAGCAAACACTTCAGCAAGGTGTTATCAAAACTACAACAGCACTTACTTTTCAAATTTAGCTAACACATCTGCCACCACAGTTCTGCTTTCTATGGCTTTGTCTGTGACCCCATTGTATTCAAAAAGAGAAAACATATTTCTGCTATCTTCCATGGCCAGGCCTCGAATCAACTTTTCTACAACCTGAATACAAATAAAAGAATAGCATTAAGAAGTGATAATGACCATACCTTTTACAAATTACAATTCATGTTATATTTTTATATACAATCTAAGGAACTATGATAGAGAAAAGAGTTACTATACTACTCTAATGGCAGTGCCAGCAATTCTTCATATACTGTAAATCTTGTTTGGTACCTACATTTGCGTTCAGGGTTCTTGTCCCCAATGTTGAAACACACAAAAGGCTTGCAGAGTTGCAAACTACATTGTAGCACTCCCTTAGTGAATGTGACACCAAAATCGAAAATTGTAGAGCTGTCACCAAAGCAAGATGTGAGGGGAAGAGCTGCTTGGGTGACAGCTGCCCAAAAGACTAATTCCTCTCACTTTGGAAACATTTCCTTTCACTTCCTGTTGTGTCTCTGGGACAGCAAGTGAAGAGAAATCTGCCTAAAGAGACAAAGACAGCAAAAAGAGTGACGGGGGTTTAACCTTTCCTACTCTAGCCAACTAAAAAATATGGCTATACTTCCACTTTAATGGTTTCAATAGTTAAATCCACATGCAAACCAAACTGCGAGACAGAAGGTGGCAGTGCTGAGTACACAGCGAGCCCCCTATTCCTAGCTAGTAACTGTGTCGTGGTGTGAAACCTTAAATATGTGCACGCAACTGAAGGAGGTAGGATGCTCTATATAATAGTTTAACAAAAATGGCAACTGCACAAATGAACTAGTTTTTAAAGAAAGGTGCACATGCCACAGTACAAACACAAAAAAATTCCCAGCGCAAAAAAACCCCAACAAATTGCCTGGTCTAACAATTTGCATTAAAACAGAGCTTTTAGTAGCACAACATTTGCAAACATGTGGAAGTCACTCTGACTCATCAAGGCCCCTCTATGTAGTGTGGTCCTAACTCTAATCTACGAGAGCTTCCATCTTGGAGCATATGATGAAAGCAGGCTCCGGTTAAAGGTCATTAAAGGAGAACTATGAGGCGAGTGAAAATCACTCAGCCTCATAGTTCTAGCCGAACTGTGACAATGAAACTGTCACAGGTGGGCTCAATAGATCGGGAATTGAGCGAACACATACCGGCGTTCGCTCCCCTCTCAATCTATCCCTACAGAGAGCCGTGACTGTCATTCACGGCTCCCTGCAGGGATTCCCCCCCTCCCCTGTCCTATCCTCCAGCACTGACTGGCGGAACGGACGGGGGAGGGGGCGGGCACAGCTGGCTCTGCCTCTAGATAGGCAGAGCCAGCTGTCAATCCCGCAGCTGGGTGGATCTCGGCAGTAATGTCGGGATCCGTCCCGGCTGCGGCGTCTCAGTAAGTGTGTATACACTCAGTTTGTGTGTATACTGAGCTTACGGTGACGGGAGGGCGCCAGTTTGTGTCCTCCCGTTACCCTTAGGAGAACTATGGGGAAAAGCCCTGACCCCATAGTTCTCCTTTAATATTTATCCATTTTGATAAAACAAAATTCCCTAAGACAAACTAATCTAGGCAGTGTTAGTATGCCTGACAAATTCTTCTGAGTCTCATGCGATCTGCTGTGGGCGGGAGGTACTGTATAATACAATGACAGCTGCCACAGCCGTTCACAGTCTGTTTGTGTGTAATTGCCAAGGATGTATTTACCTGCGGGTGACTTTACCTGGATGGAAACAGTCTACATTTAGATTTTTGGCACGTAATCAAAGTCTGTGGTGTGAATGGGGCCTGACAAATAATGTTTTTGCAAAATAGGAAAATGAGTTAGGGGCATGAACAATATTGCCCAGTAACACAACCAAAATGTGTCAGTGATTAAATATGAAACATTTAAAACTAAGCCCTCGTTCACACCTGAACGTTTTGTAGCGCGTTCTACGCTCGACGAATGCTCTACAAAACGCTCAAACATCTAAATCCCATTGTATTCAATGGGTCTGGTTCACACCTTGGCGTATTTCAGCCTGTCCCTAACGCGCTACAAAACGGACCACGCCTGAAAAGGTACATCTACTACTTTGGGCCGTTTTTGTTGCGTGTTTTCATTGGGATACAGCCAAGTAGCCCTCGGAAACGCGCGTTTGTCGCGCAATTTTTTTTACCGCGAACCGCGGTGAAAAAAACGCGCAACAGACGCGCATATGCAATACGCCTAGGTGTGAACCAGGGCTTATGGAAAACAATGACTGCCAAAAATGTGAATCAACTACAGTTCTCTACTACAATCTAGATTAGCCGATAGCCTTCCATTGATTTACACAGCAATAGATCACATTCATTGAAGAATGCAATTAAAACCTATTATGCAGCTTGTATCTTTGTTTATTGTCTATTTATACACAAGCTATATTTTTTACTCTAAAACAGTAAACATTCTGTTAGCTTTTAATACATGCAATAATTACAACACCTAATTTTTTTGGTCAAAAGACAACACTAATTATTATCCTAGAAACCGATGGGGTCTACAGCACAATGCCAGTCTTCAGTGGGAGTAGAAAGCATGAGGCATTCGAATGTTGGGTCTCACCTCGCCAGCTGTGGTGTGGGAGTTGATGGTGATCTTGCACGCTCCCCCACCGTGGCAGTACACAGTTGTTGTAATTTCCTGCCGGTTAATTAATGCTTCAATTTCATCTCGAGATGGCACAAACTCCCTGCATTTGGTTTTCTTCAAAGACTCGTTGATAAACACTGCATACTTCTCCATTTCTGAGCCTTGATACTGTTCACGAATCCTACAAGAGCAAACAAAGATAGATTATGAGACTATTAAGGCAAATGTAATTTACGGCAGAGAATACTGAGAGAAAAAAAATGGCAAAAAAACAACTGACATATCCTATTTTTTTCCACAACTCCAATATGGAAGAATTTGGAATCATGCCAAAATCTAAATATAGCATAACTAGCATATATGTGAGCTCATAGTATTTTCTGCAGAATATTCCTTGCTTTGGTCGGAGCTCGGATAACAAAAAACAATGCACAAATCTTACAAATGAGCTGTTTAAAGCAGACTTGTTTAAATTACACTTCCTGCTGATAAATTCCTGTATATTGTTGTTATACCGAATTATTTTCCATTTTTTACCCCTTGCCGCCACCTTTCCGGGGGAGGGGGCGGGCACAGCTGGCTCTGCCTCTAGATAGGCAGAGCCAGCTGTCAATCCCGCAGCTGGGTGGATCTCGGCAGTAATGTCGGGATCCGTCCCGGCTGCGGCGTCTCAGTAAGTGTGTATACACTCAGTTTGTGTGTATACTGAGCTTACGGTGACGGGAGGGCGCCAGTTTGTGTCCTCCCGTTACCCTTAGGAGAACTATGGGGAAAAGCCCTGACCCCATAGTTCTCCTTTAATATTTATCCATTTTGATAAAACAAAATTCCCTAAGACAAACTAATCTAGGCAGTGTTAGTATGCCTGACAAATTCTTCTGAGTCTCATGCGATCTGCTGTGGGCGGGAGGTACTGTATAATACAATGACAGCTGCCACAGCCGTTCACAGTCTGTTTGTGTGTAATTGCCAAGGATGTATTTACCTGCGGGTGACTTTACCTGGATGGAAACAGTCTACATTTAGATTTTTGGCACGTAATCAAAGTCTGTGGTGTGAATGGGGCCTGACAAATAATGTTTTTGCAAAATAGGAAAATGAGTTAGGGGCATGAACAATATTGCCCAGTAACACAACCAAAATGTGTCAGTGATTAAATATGAAACATTTAAAACTAAGCCCTCGTTCACACCTGAACGTTTTGTAGCGCGTTCTACGCTCGACGAATGCTCTACAAAACGCTCAAACATCTAAATCCCATTGTATTCAATGGGTCTGGTTCACACCTTGGCGTATTTCAGCCTGTCCCTAACGCGCTACAAAACGGACCACGCCTGAAAAGGTACATCTACTACTTTGGGCCGTTTTTGTTGCGTGTTTTCATTGGGATACAGCCAAGTAGCCCTCGGAAACGCGCGTTTGTCGCGCAATTTTTTTTACCGCGAACCGCGGTGAAAAAAACGCGCAACAGACGCGCATATGCAATACGCCTAGGTGTGAACCAGGGCTTATGGAAAACAATGACTGCCAAAAATGTGAATCAACTACAGTTCTCTACTACAATCTAGATTAGCCGATAGCCTTCCATTGATTTACACAGCAATAGATCACATTCATTGAAGAATGCAATTAAAACCTATTATGCAGCTTGTATCTTTGTTTATTGTCTATTTATACACAAGCTATATTTTTTACTCTAAAACAGTAAACATTCTGTTAGCTTTTAATACATGCAATAATTACAACACCTAATTTTTTTGGTCAAAAGACAACACTAATTATTATCCTAGAAACCGATGGGGTCTACAGCACAATGCCAGTCTTCAGTGGGAGTAGAAAGCATGAGGCATTCGAATGTTGGGTCTCACCTCGCCAGCTGTGGTGTGGGAGTTGATGGTGATCTTGCACGCTCCCCCACCGTGGCAGTACACAGTTGTTGTAATTTCCTGCCGGTTAATTAATGCTTCAATTTCATCTCGAGATGGCACAAACTCCCTGCATTTGGTTTTCTTCAAAGACTCGTTGATAAACACTGCATACTTCTCCATTTCTGAGCCTTGATACTGTTCACGAATCCTACAAGAGCAAACAAAGATAGATTATGAGACTATTAAGGCAAATGTAATTTACGGCAGAGAATACTGAGAGAAAAAAAATGGCAAAAAAACAACTGACATATCCTATTTTTTTCCACAACTCCAATATGGAAGAATTTGGAATCATGCCAAAATCTAAATATAGCATAACTAGCATATATGTGAGCTCATAGTATTTTCTGCAGAATATTCCTTGCTTTGGTCGGAGCTCGGATAACAAAAAACAATGCACAAATCTTACAAATGAGCTGTTTAAAGCAGACTTGTTTAAATTACACTTCCTGCTGATAAATTCCTGTATATTGTTGTTATACCGAATTATTTTCCATTTTTTACCCCTTGCCGCCACCTTCCGCTGGCCCTTTAACTGGGTCTTAATGTCAGGTGGCACAGGAGTAGTGATGGGCTCGGGAGTGTTCGCAGCTCCACGTGCCGAGCCCGACAGGAAGCTGACACAGGCACTGAGACATATCCCGATCTCTGCAGCTGCGGACCGGGATAATGTCTCAGTACCTGTGATTGGCGCTGCGGTGCTGTCAGCTTCCTGGCGGGCTGTCACTGTGGCAGCCTACATTGAGGCCCACCCACCGGCCGTACCGACATACAGTATATATGCATTGCGCTGGTGGGAAGAGGTTAAAATACAGGTTAAAGGAGACCAAAGGTTCAGATCACAAAGGTTTGACACGATTAGGATCTTTATTTGGGCCAAATGACTGTAATTTTCAAATCTTATTGAAATAAAATGTCATTAAAAAATATGATTCCTTATTCTGGTGTGTTAATCTTGTGAATTAGGCCTCGTATACCTTAAAGACACCTTCTAAGGTGAGGAATAAAGGTTGCCATTGTTTTTATGAAGGTACATGCTTTGGGGCTGTCATTCTTACCCTTGCTTCGCTATCTAGGGGATCACTGACCTGGAACAAGCATTGAAGGTAGGTGTCCTTACATTTTACCAGCTAAATGCTTTGTTCTTTGTCATTCTGTAAATAGTAAAGCAATAAGCGATAAGGGTAAAATCCTCAGAGCTTGCCCCTTTAAGAAAAAGTTATTAATGGCATTTGACTTGTGTGAATGATTTTCCAGTCTTCATGGGCAGAAAAAATCCAGTTGCCCAATTGCCACATTTATTGATGAATACTGTTATTATACCAAGCAGATTAAAGGTCGTTTAGTGTCTGAGAAGACAATGATCAAATATGTTGGCCCCATATACTGTACCGGGCTTTAATGTACTCAATTGAATTGGTATTGTTTACTGTCAGGGCAATTTTACTTTCCTTCATTAAATCTCACCTCTTCAGATGGAACTTGAGATACTTGAGAATGCTACGGCTGGGTGGAAAGGTGCAGCTCAGACAAGTGAGTATCTGCCAGTGGTACAGGTTCCCAGTGCTGCCAGGGTGTGCAGCTGTATTGGTTTGTTTGATAAGCTGGCAGTACAGTTCATCCCTTAGTGGGCGCAGATCATGGCCAGTCTGCAGAATGCCCTGAATTATTGGGACAGGATCAGACAAAGATTCAAGCTGCTGCAAAGAATGAAAAATTTTCATGGCTTCATCCTGGAGGGTGGTATAGCCTTTGTCTTTTAGCACTGTAACATAACATGAAAAAACATGATTATTTGATATAGCACTACTGACACATTTCTGACTTTATTAAGATGATAAAATCATTTGGTGCTCTAAGATGACAGAGCCTATGATCGCTTGCTTCAGTTCTCTACTCTGGCCGGAGTGAAGGGAAGACAGCCGAGCTGATTCTTCTCCTCCTCGGCCGCTCTAGCTACAGTGCGGCCGAGAAGAAGAATCAGTTCTGCTGTCTTCCCTTCACTCTAGCCACCTGCAGCATTCTCCATCCACCTCAGCTGTCATAGGCTGGAAGAATGCAGCTGCTATTGGCCGGGCGGAAGTTTTTGCAGTGCAGGACCTGAAGGATACATCTCTGTACCTCCCCCCAGTGCCAGCACCAGGAGAGGAAGAGGGCAGATCAGCTATGTGCACTGCAATTCCTTGTTCTTTCTGCTTTACACCGCTGACCTCTGTGCATTACAGTACTGACCTCTCTACTGCTGACCTCTGCACTGTGCGTTACATTACTGACCTCTGTACTGTGTGTTATATTGCTGACCTCTGCACTGTGTGTTACATTACTGAACTGTGTACTGATGACCTCTGTACTGTGCATTACATTACTGACCTCTGTAGTGCTGATCTGTGTGCTGTGCGTTACATTACTGACCTCTATACAGTACAGAGGTGCATTACATTACTGACCTCTGCACTGTGCATGACATTACTGACCTCTGTACTGCAAACCTCTGTGCTATGCGTTACATTACTGACCTCTGTACTGTGTGTTTCATTACTGACCTCTGTACTGTGCGTTACATTATTGACCTATGTACTGCTGGCCTCTGTACTCTGCATCACACCACTGACCTCTGCACTCTGTGTTACATAGTTACATAGTATTTGAGGTTGAATAAAGACATTAGTCCATCAAGTCCAACCTATTAGGATCTCATTCTAGGAGTACCTGTACCCCTGTATATTACGGTCCCTTAAGAAATCGTCCAAAAGTTTCTTGAACAATTCCACATTCTTTGCTGAAATCACTGTCTGTGGCAGTGAGTTCCAGACCCTAACTGATCTTACTGTGAAGAACCCCCTTCGCCCCTTGTGCTGGAATTTTTTTTCCACCAATTTTAGGTGGTGGCCTCTAGTTTTTGTAATGGAGTTAATTTTAAACAGTTTATCGCTAATGTTGCTGCCACCATTGAACATTTTGTACATGGAGATCATATCCCCCCTTAATCTCCTCACCTCCAATGTGAACATGTTTAAATTTAGTAGCCTTGTCTCGTAGCTCTGGTCCTCCATACCCCTAAGTGTTGTTACTGGTCTCTGTACTTTGCGTCACACTGCTGACATGGCAGAGTTAAGGCTGGGGCAGGGTAGGGGTTTGGTGGGGCAACTGATGGCGAGTAACTCTTAAGGCCTGGCTAGTAGCTCAGGGCCTGAAATTTTGAGCCCTGCATTAGCCCATCCTCTAAAATGCATAGTTTTAGTGGGCAGGCTAGTTAGTTGTGGCAGCTCTGGCAGTGTGCCTTGAACTGTACACTGTCTGAACTGTTACTTTTTACATTCATGTATGCTGCGCTGCCATGCGGTACCTATAGTGGCATCCAATGCGCTGCAATAAAATGCATGTCCGCACTTTATCACAGAGTAGCACACCGCCCATCACACCTGCATTGTGGTTTGAATGGGACACCTAGAAAACAATTGTTTTCTATGTGTCCTGGCAGTGACTTGCAATGATCCGATATGGTAAAATGCAGGTCACCGCAGTATATGTGAGCGGGCTCTTAGAACCATGTCAAACTAGGAACTTGTAGCAGAGAACTGTAGCAGCAGCAAATATCTCTGTTTATGTTATGTGGGGATTTGTACCTGGCTACAGAGTTGATGATGTAGCTGACTGCAATGCTTGTCTATGAAACTACAAATCACTGGTGTGCCATGATCTTATCTGCATTAGATAACATGAATAGCTACTGAGGCTGGCAACCCTGTAACTAGCTTCAAAAGGTCACCTGCTCAGCCACTGAGCCAAAAACACCTAGAATGGCTACGATGCAGATTTTTCATTTACTTTGAACTTTCTATTCATAGAAACAAAAATACTAAGGAGGACGGTTTTGTGTATGCACTATAAATTGATGCTAAGTGATATGTCCTTTAAAGCCTGTGTACACAAAGTGTTGTGTTCCTTAATACTACTTCTTTCCTAATGCATGCCAATAAGAACTCAAAGGCAGCTTGAAGCAGCCTGAGACAGCTTAAAAGGAGGTCAAATGCAGGTAAAAAGCACCTGTTATTGAACTCTGAATTATCTCAAAAGCACATCTAACTGATCTCAAATGCAGGAGGAATGCACATGAAAGCAAGGTGCATTTGCCTGTTGACACTAGCGCATAGCCGCATTAGGTATATACTAAGGAGCAGTGTAGTTTGGGATTTTTTTCTTTTTTCAGCTATACTATGTGTATATCAAATGTATATTATTTCAAAAGTAAAGACATGAATATAATCCAGGAGGATCCATTAGGAAACTATAAATGTATTGCACATATGAATTCTATGCGTCAGTGATTATTTCTGCACAAATGAAAATCAATACATTGTTTTCCCTAAGAACTATTGCTAATAGATGGGCTGGAGCTGAGATGCCTGGCCACCCTTGTGTGATATTCTCAATAGTTGGACCTCTGCTCTCATTATTTTTCCAATGTATTTAAATGCCACAAAGATACAGATCCAACATATAAAAAAAGGAGATTCTTTAATTCTTGACAACATGATTAGCTGTTCATTTAAACTTACTGTCTATCCTTATAGATATAATTACATTTCTGTATTATATACAGTGCAGGATGAATAAGTATATTGGTACTCACAGTTCAAATTAATGTCTCCATAGGGAAGAGGTAATAAAGGAGAATGCAGGGGGTGATGCGTATATCTCAGTATTGGGTTCCTCCTGTAAATCTGCTCCACAACTTCAGGGTTCAGGCAGTTCTCCTTTAAAATATAAATATCAATTTTAAATCAGAGCATACAATTATCTAAGTCATTAGAATAACTAGGATAATCCAGATTTATGATGGTAACACACCTTTCTGATTTGGTGTGTTTTTATTTTTTCCGCTGATGCTTTTTCCTTTGAAATGAATGTAAACGCAAAACAAATTTTCAACTTTGCATTGCACATCGACTAGTGTTGACATGAATCATGCTTACATATTCACGTACAACTAAGTTAGTTTTGGCAACACGCATTTTGGTGCATTTCCATTTATTTCATCAGGCAAAAACACAAAAGATATATTTCCATCCAAAGAGTTATTATTTAAAATGTATGTGAATTTCATACAACAATTTATTTTTTTGTGCTGAATAAAATACATGGTGGGAAAACTGGGACAGAAATGTAAATTTCAGTATACAGTAGGTGCATAAACAGATTTATAGTGCTGAATTGTTGTAGATGTTGCTTACCTTAATGTCCTGTATAAGTTGCTGTGTTGGAGTGTCAATGGGTGCCTTAGTGTCTATGACATTCTGAATAGCACAGGACCACCTTGTAGCTTCGTTTAGCAGTTTTGTGTAAAGGCGGTAGCAGTGTTTGCGGCCATATACTATTACATTCCAGTATCCTGTTATTCAAACAAATTTAGATAACATGCATGTAAGAACTTTGTTTACACATGCAAGCATACTAACAATGTCATGAGCCAAAAAGGTAAGCCCAGCCAAACGTTTTTTTCATTTAGTGATAGAATGGAAAATGTTAGATCCTCTTTCAAGCTTTTTTTTTTTTTTCTTTGAAAATATTTTTCTAAACGTTTATTAAAATATTACAAAGAAAAATCCACAGAAGAACTCTTTCATGTTTTAATGTCCCTGTTAAGGAGATTTCCCCTCACCGATGCCATAGAGCAGGGGTGCCCGCAATTTTTGTGTTAAGATCTACTTTTCAAATGACGAGCTACATGAGATCTACCAACGAAAAAAAAACCTCCCTCACGCTCCTTCTCTCTCGCTCTCCTAACTGTCTCTCCTCGCTCTCCTGGCTGTCTCTCCTTGCGCTCTCTCCTGGCTGTCTCTCCTTGTGCTCTCTCCTGATGGTCTCTCCCTGCTCTCTCTCATGGCTGTCTCTCTTTGCTCTCTCTCTCCTGGCTGCCTCTCCTTGCTCATCCCCCTGGCTGCCTCTCCTTGCTCTCTCTAAAGTCGCTCCTCTGCAATATTACAGAACACCGGGAAGCTAGACCTCGTACTTCTCCTCCTTTCATGCTCAGCCCTCCATCCTAAAGTCGCTGCTCTCATGCTGTTAGCTTCTGCCTTCATGTGTCAGACGCAGCAGACGGGGAGGGGCTAAACAGACCATAGGAGGGTTCTCGTGATAGTGAGCCGACTTACAATTGTGATCTACCAGCATCAGCTATGTGAGCTACTGGTAGATCATGATCTAACTAATGGGCACCGCTGCCATAGAGAGTAGAAAATCTGACAGAGGTGCAAACCCCCCCCCCCCCATCTCTATTCATAATGAGAAAAAAAGTTCTTGCTGGAGGTACACTTCATTTTTGACAATAAGAAAGGAAATGTATCTTACCAGTTTCCTTAAAAATCTTCTCCTCAGGCTGCACCACAGAGCAGAGGCTGTTCAGAACCAAGGTACCCAATTTCAAGGCATATTTCTCTGAGTTCTTGTAATAGTCCAAGGAATTATGGGTAAGAACAAACCAGCGCTTCTTCAGCTTTAGCAAAGACATCTTAGGGCTATTTTTCACTTCCTTGTGTAGCCAACCTTTCAGACCATATTAGAAGTTAGTATTTTCTTAGATATTATATTCAGAATATTATTTTACAAAAACGCACGTATGTATAATAAACATATTCTGTTAAAATTATGATAATAAAGGTGCATTTTATCCAACATAACCAATGCGCTGGATCCTTTCGCTATAATTAAAAGTACATGGCATTCCTCTAAGTTAACAAATGCTATTTTTAAAATGGTGGAAGCTATAATGTGCAGTACATATTCCTACCTCTGACAATGAATTCCTGCCCTTCCACTCGGGTGTCACCCTTGGACCTCTGCAGTAGTGTTATCCAGTGGTGCATTTCTTCTGGGGTGTCTGAGTTGCAGTGAAGAACGCGGTTTGCCGTAATGATTACAAATGAGTTTGGTCTTGAAGCAAAAGAACGGAGATATATTTAGCCATTAGGCAACATGGGTAATGTTTGCACAACAATCACTCACCCGCAAATTATCTATCAATACTTCTCTTGTTTTATTTTAAATACGTGGAAGAATTCTCACTTTGATGTTATTTACAGTAAAGCTGTGCTGAGGTTTTGGAAAATCTGACAGAGAAACAAGGAAAAAAACATTCTACAAATCTAAGCGAATAACCCTTTTGTGTCATATTAGAACAGTAGTCAGGATAATAAAATTATATTGTTGACATTTTGTTTGTTGAAAAGCCATAGCTTAGGATGCAGTGTTCCTTGCTTTATTATCTTCCAACATTTCTTTGGTATTGAAATCTTCATGTTCAGCACAGTTATTTATATCATATGAAGTATATAAAGCCTATTGGCCAGAAAGACAGTAGTCATGGGATAACACCATAAAAGCACCCTAAGGGGTTACATCTCTTAAATCTTTAGCTTTTAAAGCCACCCATTTAAAAGCCATTCTAGCAACAACAAAAATACTTATTCTACATTTATGTAATGCTTTTTATTACTTCTTGCTAGTCAAAACGATTACAGTATCTGGCCCAGCATAGACAAAGATGCATATCTAAAGCTTACCTATCAGGGTTATCAGAAGCACAGACTGAATCAATCAATCCAACATCCAATGTGCCCTGTAGAAGGAACAAAAAAGTTTGCTTTGTCAACAACGTTAAACATTCACCAGAAATACATCCATAATATTACATCAGTAAGGAAAATAAGTTTAGTCCATACCACGTTTTTTCTATCAGACAGGAAATAAGTTGAGCTCATACCACTTTTTTTTTCTATCATCCATTTTTGTATTTGTCAATGCTCATCTTGCCCAGAGTTCTACTTTAATTACGTGCTCTTTTTTACATGTTGTATTTCTTAGAACAATAGGAACTATGCTCAAATATAATTACTGCCAGAATCAGATTCACGTGTAAGTCTAGTGAACTGTTAGCTAATACCTATTTATTTTTTCCAGATCATGTACATATTGATTGCTATATATTAAAAGGTGTCCTTTGTTGTCAGACATTATACATTCCATACATTATACATTCCATACAAGAAGTGGAATAACCATTAAGGAGAATACAAGCAGCTTTAACAAAAAAAAACATTTGTCCAATCTGCATTTTTAAGTTTCAGTCACAATGGAGGATTCAGATGGAAGCCATACCAAGGAGGCCTCTCTCGTTGGGCAGCTCAAAGACTCTGACTACACTATTTTTGAAGACAGTCCACACCCTCACACTAAATCTAACAGATACCTCCATCCACGCTAATGTGCATGGATGGACAAATTTCCCCCTAGGCTATTTTATTCTTACAGCGACGGGTGTGCTGCTCTCAGAATATCTGAATTGTGATTGCAGCTGACTGGTGGCTGTCAATCTTGGGCTGTGAATCTTCCACCTGGTTCCTTTGATTTTCAGATTGAAAGATGGTCAGGCAGGAGGCTGCTGACAGGAGCACTCACTGAGCAAATTTCACCTGGTTCATCAAGAACCGGACAAAATTTGCTCAGTGTATAGCCAGCTTAAAATGCAAACTGGTAGTAAACTTGACACTACGGGGAATCATAATGTGACTATGGGTCAACCATGAAGGAGAACAATATTATCATAAAATGGGATGATGGCCACTAACAAAGAGGAGTGGCCTACAAGGAAAACAGTCAGTAGTATAAGTATATTGCACAAAAAAATGGCCATGTATAATGCATGACATGAAAAGCAGGGTGTTCTAAGTGCAAAACTTATTCCAGGGCTTATGTAGCTCTAGATGTGCCCTTGAATACAGAAATACACACAATATCACACTATCAAGCACTATCAATTATTTTTGTAAGATTTAATGTTATCAGTGAGATTTCTGGGTGCAGGTTTGGCTTACATAACCAAAATCCCAGAAATGTAATCTAGTTTGATCTAATAATATTTACAGACATATTTCCAAAACCCATAGAATAGTGAAGGACAGCATAGGCATCCTCTCTTCACCCCCTCTCCAGTCTAAAGTGGCTGATTTCTACACAATACATAATATAAAAATGTGTACTGTTTAACTTTCTGTTATTCTGTTACTGAATCATTTAGTGATGGGTAGGTTACAAGAAGTTACATCTTTTTCTCTTAGTCAGTGAGTTCTCTGCATATGAATTACCAGCACTGAAAACAACCTGTCTAAATAGGTATGTTCAGAATAAATTGCAACTGCCAACAGCCCGATGTACTGCGTGCAGGTGAATCCAGATGTACGGAGGATTGTAGTTAGCTCAGCTGGCAGATATACAAGTTGTGTGATGCAAATAGGATTAGTAGGATTAAAATAATGATTAAATAATAAACTCAGCTGAATAATGAAAGGATTTCCACTTACCACAGCATTTTGTGGATTTGCTTGCTCATCGTTCATCTCCCGAATCTCCTGCTCTGTAGATGAATGGACCTGGCTCATCACACTGAACCACTGGCTGTAGAGACATGACAGCAATTACTGGATTCTGAACTCCCTTTCTATGCAGGACAGGTTAATATTGTTTCACTATCACAGGGCACTTAAACTGCACTGCATTAGACTCGTTAAATGAATAATACATAAATTAATATAAGCTTAAAGCAAACCCATTCTTTGTTAGTGTTGGGCAAAGCAAAAGGCTTATTTTAATGTCCCCCTTACCCAGTAGCATATACTTACCATTCTGCGCACTCGCTTCCCTATACAGCCACCTGAGACAAGGAAAGTAGCCCCGCTTAAGTTCTGGGAATATTTTTTTCTCCCAGTTCTAAGTGTAGCAGCGAGGGGGAAAGGTATGTATATACTGTTGGAATGACTGGCAATAAAGCAAAGTAATTTACAATATTTAAACTTAAATTGTATGTAAATCCAAAACTTTTTTTAGTTTTTGATAGAATGTGGAAGGGTTTTAACTTTTGTCAGTTTTTATTGTTATCCATGTCCTCGCTAGGGAGGTTCACCATCTCTATTAGTCCTGATGATCATTGTCTCTGGTTGTCTCGAAAGTGACAGAAAATCCTAAATTGTTGTCAGAGGAACAGGGAGTTGGGGAAATCTTCCAGTGAGTGAACCTGTTCTAATGACAACTGGCTAAAGCCAGGATCAGACCTTTGTGTTGCACTGCCACAATATAGAGTGCCACACCATGCATGCATTAGTGTGTTGCAGTGCAATTTATTTCAAACAAAACCTCAATGAACCTTCACCTGTATTGCAGTGCACTGCAACGTATTATCATGCATTGCTTTCCCTGTGGTTTCTCCCACTGCACCCTATATCACTGCAGGACACAGCCAGCAACATAAACTAGTTCAGCGGGGGGAACCAGGAATCCAGCACACCTGAAGGCGTCAGTTTCTGAAAATTCTTCAGTTTGTTATTATTATTATCATATAGGATCCATATAGCGCCAACAGTTTGCGCAAAATGAAGGGGAGAGTACAATTACAATAGAAAAGGATTAGGAGGGCTTTTTTCTCTTCACTTCACTTACAGCATTTACCCAGCAGTGATCAATTTTTGGATTCGTGTTACAGCACTTTGCTCATCCTCATTGCACTTGGCAATTAATTAACCCAGACAAGTGTAATAAAATATAAGCAAGATACAAAACAAAGTAAAACAGCTGGAATTGCTGCTTTCGTGTTTCCATGTCTGGCCCTTTCCACAGTGTGACCCTCCCATGTAGACGTGCAGCACGCTTTATACGAGTTGCTCTTTTTGTTTACTATCAACATACCCACGATCATTATCTCATCCAGTGTTTTGGAAAAGTTAGACCTGGGTCACGAAATATATAAACTCCACTCAACAAGCAGTACTTTATGTTGACATGTATTTCAGCAATGCATGAATAAAACAACCCCACCCTGGCGCACAAGCTGAAGTCCCCTTGTGCTACACTTTTTAAATAAGCGTTTGTTCCATTTAACATTTATTTTATAGCAACTTGAATGTTCTATGTGTCTAGCTTAAAGTATAGTTTAGCTTTTCCAAAGAAATTATAAATGAGCACACATCAATAAAAGAAAAGAAAAATTCATTTTGTGCATTTACGCTAGCAAAGCATTGCAAACAGTGATCTCAGGAGTAATGCTCTGGCTCCTGCAGACTCTTCCTCCCTCACACTGTCCAAACCAAGGTACAGATCTTCAGTTATGAGACGGGAGGAAGTATTAATAGACTACAAGTGCTGTGACATTACCAGACTTGTACTCTATTGGGGAGTACTGGTGGAAGATGGGACTTGCAGTCTCTCCATTCACAGATCCTATCAAAGGATTTGTGAATGGATGACATGGCTGTGCGGGCCACGGCAAATTAAAAAAAGTTAGGATCCTGTGGGGAGAAGAACCCTACAATCCAGGTAAATTGATGGATGGTTTGGGGGGTCTGGGCACTGTGAGCATGTTTCGTATTACACCTTAACTATGGTTAACATGAAACATGGTCTAAAAAGTGGAGCGATTCTTTAGGACGTCACATATCTTTTTTCTACCTGTGCTGAGAGAAATACATAGGCTGCCACTGTTGATTTCTAGAAATGTTATTTGTCTGATTGTCTTTGGTTGTAGCATGTTTTCAGTCACTAAGCTGCAGCAATCATGTAGACAGTTAAGTTTTAGTGAATTCAGAACTCATGGTCTACATACTTGTTCTGGGTTAGTGGCTCTGAAAGCACCGAAGGTACTGAATCAACAATGGCAGCCAGGTAGATAGCATTTTCGGAAGATAGATCAGCAATGACAGTCTACATGGTTCTCACAAAACAGGTTTCCTTTAATTTGTCTATCTTGCTACCTGGGCTTTAACTTAAAAACCAGCAGATGGCACTGCAGCCATGCCAGTTCATTAAACAGCAACTAAGAGCACACAAAAGAATATTATCTTGCTATTAACAGTATGCGTTGGGAATCATGAATATCATTTAAAAAAATGTAATGTTACCAAATTTGATGACTATAATTGGATATTCTAGTTTATTTGTAACTTTTACATTATAAGCTACATCATAAAAATATAGCCAAAGAACAACCCCACCTCCATCATTAAAAGGAAATGTGTTCTGGAGTCCAGCAGTGGAGAGAATTCAGGCAGGGTTGACAACACTAAATGGGATTTCAGTGCAGCAAAAGCAGCACTGTGAGTTCGCTCCAGGAAAATAGGAGCTCACTGGATGTTGGGTGGAATCAGCAGGTGTATTCCTGTGCAAGAAACCTTTTTAGAGCCTGAAGAATGGAACAACGTGCATGTTTTGCAGAAATGTACTGCAGATTTTAATTTTTCCCCAGACATACATTTGGAAATGTATTTATTTATTGTATTAGATTGCATTTTCTTACCTTGCATCTTCTGGTGACTCAGCAATCAAATGGTACGTCCGATTTCCCATTACTATATCAATACCATTTTCCTTGCCTGTGTTGTCGATGATTTCCCTAAAATATTTTTTCAGAAAGGCATATGATTAAGGCAGGAGTTCTACAAATTATGTATCCAGTTAAAAAATAACAAAACAAATGAATATTAGTGATTATCCTAAATGTCATGTATCAATAATATCATGTGAGTAACATCATAGTGATCCTCAGGGGCAGATAATTTGCCTGTGCAGTTTGTGTTACTGCAGGGGCACCCTGTGAGACAAGGGGTTGTGCTGCTGTTTGTGAGACCTAGTGGCATATTTATCAAGAGCAGGCAAATCTAGGCATATTTGTCAGATAACTTCTTGGAACATTCAGGAAAAAATTAGGGTTTACAGCATCCAGACCAGTGATAAATGCTGGAGAATGCAAATTAGGATTTTAATATTAAGAATATGTATGACAGAGCCCATGTGGGAGAAGGTGGGCACAGGGGGTGCTCCGTTAGAAGTAACAGAAGAATAAATGATAAAATAAATCCTCCTCTCTAAGTGGCCAATGTGAAATACAGGAACCTGACAGCTGTATTATTTACCCCATTATAAATATAGTGAACAGTGAATAATACTATTGTGAATAGCCCGTACAGCAGCCCTTCGGTTAGACTGAACCGAAGGACTCTGGCGGCCGAAGAGAACCGAAGGATCAGCTGAAGCTACGGCCGTATCCTTCAGGTCAATAGTGAATAACCCCCTTAGTCTTAGACAGAATCAGTGGCAGATTTCCGTGAGAGCTGTCAAAATGAGCTACTGCTGTAGTGTTAAAGCTTGATAGATGCAGCAGGCACTGTTTACTTGAAGATGAACTCCAGCCTTAGGCTTACGAGCGTTGATCAAGGAATCTCCAGCTGTCTTCATTGTATTCTGACAGCGGCTGCCAGCACCTGTCAGAATACCCAAACAGAGCCGCCAGCTCATTGGCTGCCCGATCTGTTCTTTAGAAGATTTTCCGTCTGGCTCCTTCGATCGGCTAATTGAGGCATGCCGTCCGAAAAGGTGCCGACAGTGGCACCCACTGAGCAAATTTACACAGTGCATGGACACCTTTATCTTCAGTTTTGTACAATTGCACAGGTTCCTCTCCTCTATTGAAATTGGTTACCAGATTTCACTGTACAAGTTGCAACAAGTCAGTCTTGTTATCTGACTGGAGAACATTCTGTATCATCTCTTTCCTCCCCAGTCTCCTCTTTTCTCCCCAGCCTGCCCTGCCCCTTTCATTTGTTGGATGTCATATGTTTCAGTTTGGAGGCGCAGCATACCATTGTCACTACCTAGTCTGCATGCAGATGGGTGTTGTGATGTTTCAAGAAGCTATGTATGACACCCTGCTGACCCCTTGTCACCTGCCATGATCTGCCTGCATTGCACAGAGAAGCACAGAGCCTTGGGGGCCATTTATAGCTCTAGTATAGCTGGGCAGATACCATTCACATGGCACTACTCACACTAGATGGCATCGAGGATCATAGGAAAAGTTTTAAATCGGCTCCTGTGATGATTGGCCTAAAATAAGGTATGTGATAAAAACGGTGTCATTGAAAAGATTAATTAGCATTTTGATGAGGAGGGGGACCAGAGAAGGCAATATATATAACAGATTAAACATCAGCTTTTAGACATTTACAGTACATTGAGCCGCTTTGATTAAGACATGATTTTGGCCCAAAGATATCAAGAAATGCTTGATAGGAGAGAGCAAAATGTGCTGGCTGCCTTTACACCCATGTAAACAGGGTTGTACAAATAAATTAAAAGCCGTGCATCTTTATGTTTCCACTGATTGTGAACATGATGTCCCTATGTCTAAACTCACATGCCTTCATGCTCTCTATTAGAGGATTCACAGCTTAAAAAAGAAAATGTATGATGAAAATATCTCTAGCAGTGCCTGTTCTCCTTTCTGTATACTTCCAAATTTAGCAATAAAGACATTGTGGTGCCCAGTGTCAATCAGACTTTCTCACAACTAAGTAAAAATTCTATACAATGTCTAGCTTTAATGGCAATGCTATTTGAATGTAATGTTTAGGCCCAATCACACTATTGCGGTGTGTTAGCGCATGCGTTACAGCAATGTGGTAGTGTGAATGGGCCCTTAGTCTATGTTTGGCTAGCAGTGTTTGCAATATGTTTCCATTAACATACTAATACAAAATAACAGTCCGGAAGTACTACCAAAGGCCATAACATTTGAGCAGTTTCATGCTTTGCATTGCAGTCAAAATGTAACAAAATATGTTGAAATCGCTATTACCATGAGCAATGATATAATTTTAAAGGTTACTAAAGTGATTATGATTGATCATTGACAGGCCTCCTCTAATAGTGCTTATCCAAGAAGTTAATTGGGCAACTAGAGAAACATAAATACAAGTATAGAACAAATCTTTTTTTTTTACTTGTGTCTAATGAGTCCTTTTGGGAATGTTTCCTTTCATTGGAAGTCTCTTCTTTAGCTTCCTAAGGCCATACCTGCTGCACTAAGCTTGCTAGCAGTGATGGCTGTCTTTGATGTCATGCTATAGGTCACATGATCTAATTGTTCTACCATGTATATATTGAGGACAAAAATATCAATATGGCTACCATTAAGGGAAAGGTTGTGTCAATCAATACCAAGCATGGGGGACATTTCAACATGTGCACAGGAAGTGTGATGAGTTGGACATGTTTATCCATCTAGATAACTATGGTATATCAGCAACAATTCTGAAATTTTAATTCTTGAACTTACTTGGTTTCCCGCAGTTCTATGGTCCCCTTCAGTCTTTCCTCATTATCACTTTCAAAGTACATGAGCTTGGACTGACGGAGAACAAACCAACGTTTCTTCCAGTTTCTTCTAGAAAGAGTTGATGATCCGCCACCTTTTTTATAAAGCCAACCCTGTTTCAAGGCCTCCTGCTTAGACCTAAACCACAAGAATGTTTCATCTTTCAAGACACACCAGCGTTTCTTCCATGTGTTCATCATTCCACCTGCCAGAAGCACAGTACACACATAAGATATTGCATGTAGTAGTTTGTTAGGTTTTTTAGCATTCACAAATTTGAATCTGATATGCAAAGCACAAAGGATTACGATTGAAACAGCTAACAATCCAGTAGACAACCTTGTCCATTCTAATCTTCTCTGGGGCTGTTTAGTTGAACGACTAGTCTAGGCCAGGGTTTCTGAACTCTAGTCCTCAGGGACCAGTATCTGTATACTAATTTTATCTAAGTTTATGTAAACAGATAACGAAAAAAGCACTGTTCAGTGGTTTTGAGGTTTGGCTTTTAGAACCCAATTTCTCAGCACCTGTCATAACAATACTTATTCTCATAAACATTTAATCTTTATATATTTCTTGTTAAAACACACCAATAATATATCATTCTGCTTGTCAGACCATTTAATAATGCCATTATTAAGTCAACTTATTTTGTTGGAAAGCCCTTAAACATATAGTCCAGACTTGCTACTTGAATAGAATCCCAGATATATTAAATGGTATTATTTTGTGCCTAGTACATGCTCATTACAATATGTACCATTTTTCCTAAATGAAAATCACATTCATGGTTAGAATTTTGTTCATTTAGATAAGAAACATTAAACATTTTTAGTCCTGCACCTTCCTTGTACCTTCCACAGTCGGAAATTAACTTTGATTAGTTCCACTAAAGACTAGAAAATCAAACGAGTATTCCAAAAACGAAAGTTCTTGAATTAAATTCTACATGTGTGTGGCCATCTTAAGAAACTGGTGGGGCTACCTTTAAAGTAAAACTGATGATTTCCTTGCATTGGAAAAATCACAAGTTCCCTTAAGTCCAGCCAACACAACAGAATCATACAAATACTAATGATAGCATGTCTCTGGCAAACCACTATACAAGCATTAAGCATGGAAAAATGATTTTATGGAGGCTGCTAAGAAAACAAGTTTGACAGCTTTAGTTAAATATTGCCCTTAGGTGTGAAACTGCTACCTTACGTTTCAATTACGTCAGCCATAGTGCAGTGTTTGTCCTCTTAATTCTATATCCACAATACAATGCCTGTATTTACTGATACATTAGTCTTATGTATTGTATGTCTGCATCTAGTTATCTGTCAGTGTCTGAAATGTGACCTGTCTGGGTTAGTGTGATGGATTTGCTTGTAATCTAAATTGACTTGTCTGCCACCATTCTTTGACACCTGGAAAATAGAATTATTAGTCAGAGTATGATTACTAAATGGCGTAAAAAAGACTTAAATGTTTGAAGTTTAGGTCTGTGGATAATCAAATGTAGAAGTCATTCTACTGATTCTGATGGAAACCTTGTAAAACACTTGAGTATCTTTACTCTGAAATAATCAGGTGAATATTAACAGGTCTGGATCTTTAAAAAGATCACACAGGCCGGGGCATAGGGCACTACAATGTTAGGGGTGAGGAAGGAAGACTGCCCCAATCCCTTATTTTATCACATATTAGTTATATAAGTTTTCAGGCAATAAAACATCAATATACTTTGATGCACTTGCTCTTCCCCCTTGTCAACTTAAAGTGTATTTCTACTTTTGCAGTCAAATTTGAGAACACCCATCTATATGTTTGTTATTTGTGTATGTGTTTCTATTAACACAGCATGTATTTTGAAAACAATATCCCTTACCTTTTAGATGTTTCCATTCAAACACATCACTCAATTTTCAAGTGACAGGAAACTCTGTCGTTCCCCATAGAAAGACTAGGGACAGACTGAGCTTCCCCTCATTAACATCAAATCTAGATCAGACCATCTAAGATCTAAGAGCCGAAGAATCCAGCCGTAGCAGTCGAACCGAATGGCTGCTGTACGGGCTGGGCTATTCACAATATATGCATATGCTAAGGCTCAGATGAGCCGTAGTGATACCCGAAACGTGGAGAAAGGTCGGCCGAAGCAACCTTTTTTTAAAAATTATTTAAATTTTTTTTTCTTTTCTTTAAAATATTTTTCTTTCTTTCTTTATTTTTTTTAAATTTTTCAACTTTTTTCCCCCACATATTTTCTATCCTGCTTGGTACCTCGGAGGTACCAAGCAGAATAGCCGAGCCGAATGCCGCACGGCGGAATTTGGCTATTCATTCACTGCCATTCGGCCCCTATGAGAATAGGGGCGAACGGTAGTGAGTGAGCTGACGGAGCTTCAGCTCAGCCGATTCAGATGTTGGATTGGCTGAGTCGAACTCCTTCTTCACTTCGGCTCAGCCGATGTACGGCTGATTTTAGTCGATGTACGGCTAAAATCAGCCGTACAAGACTGAAGTGAATAGCTGAACAGCGTTCGGCTCACTTCACTTCGGCTTGGTCATTCACTCGGCTGCCTTCGGCAGCTTTGTGAATAACCCCCTAAAACTCTTTGTTAGGACAGACAGTGTTCAAATTAGTTTACAACTGATTGTGACATCTGCCAGCACTGTACAGACAGCGTAAAATATGTTAACATTAACCTGCCCGGCCCCCCTTGCACTCCAGAGCAGAACAACTTGTCTTTCAGAATAGAGCATGTGTTGTGCAAGCAGTGATTTAATTTAAGTTATGCTATGTGAATGAGAAACACGTAACAAATATAAAATAAGTGTTATCCCAGTTTGGCTGCAAAAATGGAAAAACACTTTTTTTTTTACTGGACAGCTAGGGCCTTCTGTATCATATTTAGTATCAATCAGTTGTCAATTAAAATGCTGCTACACTAGTAAATAACCATAATAAAAATGGTGTAGGTGCCTACGTCTTATTTTGTTCTTGAGGCAGCCTAAGGAGAGAGCAATGTGTTGGCCAGTGAGATCTCTGATACAAGATCCCTGACAGAAACCTGACTGCAGAGGTGAAGGATCTGCATGTCACATCAGCAGGAGAAAGGTTAAAAATGATATTAAATTATAAAGCCGTAGACATCAGATGCACAAAATGTAAATTGGTTAGCTCTCATTATGCTCTAAAAGGATATATGACTAGCTCCAGTGTTATGGTCTGGTGCAGGTATGTTTAAAGTTTGTGGCCCAGTTAAATTGACCAGGCTACTACACAGAAATCTGAGCTTGACAGCAAATGTACATTACAATAATAACATTAAAAAACACAAAACTAAAAAAAAAGATTGCCACAGCTATCAAAAAGGTGCTAAAGAATGATACAAATATATTATGCTATGGAACTAGCTGCATTTAACTTTGATTTGATTCAGATCACGTTTCTTCCTTCCCAGATGTCATCTACAGACACAAAATGAGAATGACCTGTAATGATTAGCGGTATCCCTCAGCATGACCTCTTTGTGGCATTTTGTGCATAAGGGTCTCAGCGTGTGCCCTGTAAGCAGTGAGGTTTTCTATACTGCGTGACACTTGTAACCCCCCTTCTTAACCATATAAACCACAGACAAAGGCAGTACAAGAAAAGGGGCAGTTCATATTCACTGCAGTAGATGCCAATGGAAAAAAAGGTACAGGGAAAGACTTCTATTTTATAAATACGGAATCAGAACACAGGAAAGTAAGTATTAACATATGTTGGCTTAGACATCCCTCCTGAACTGCAACTGCATGTAACTTTCTGAAGAAAGTGCAGTAAGCCACTGTCGGAGAGGTCATATTCCATGCAAGAGTCTCCCTGTAATGTAACCTCAAGTTCTGTGCAGATGTTTAGGAGGGACACTGAGCAAGCTATAGGAGCAGTAACATAATGATTCTAGGAAAACCCATCTACAAACAAGTTACTGATGCTATATGGTAAAGCACTGCTTAGAAGTTATATTAACACTGAAAATGTTTTGTTTATTGATAAATAACAAAACTGCATTTGTAGCAGTTGTAAATGTTGCAATACATTATAGTCAAACGGGAGCATTATATATATATATAAGATCCCTTTTCAGGGCCGAGGCTGTGTTCTGCACTGCAGTTGACGTGAGCAAGGTGTAATCTGCCATGAACCAAAAGTAACCCTATTGAAGTTATGCGCCATTTATTTATGAAAGAGATAAAACCCCTTTTAACAATAAAGTTATTTACAAGAGTAATAGTTGACTGATAAAGACTAGTGTATGTATATAAAACAAGTACAATAGCAAACATCTACGGTTTCTTATTAACTAAACTTCTATGTCTTTGGTTGTCAGGAAAAGAATAAATAGGTTTTGCTTTAGGTCCACACCCAAATAAAGACAAGAAATCAAAATCGTACCATACGAGTAACCTACCTTTCATGTGTAAAAAACTGTGGAAATAAGGCAGCGTAACACAACTGTAGACAGAATCTCTTCTATAAGAGAGCTCATCATCTGTGTCAAACCTTGAATCAAAGTCTTCTTCGCTGTCTTCAAACTGGAAAGAACCAAAAAGCCAGTGTTAAGAAAGCCGTGAATTTGGTTTATCTATGTTGGCATCATTCAAGCATTATATCTGCAAACACGAAAGCCCCCTCACAGTAAGCCTCACTTATTATTGTGTCATTGAGGTGATATAGGCCATTATTTTGGAAGACAATTCAAATGAATTTATTGGCAGGTGCTACTATGAAATAGTAGAGGTATCTGGCCAGATGCCTATGAGGCCAGTTTGATAAACAAAATTGAAAAATATGTAAAGCTTATCAGAGAAGTACCTCAAAGAAATATTTTGGTCTGCAGACACCATTTCACTACAGCTGGCCTCTGTTAGTGTCCTTTAAAGGGCATAAAGCTTGCCATCAGGCAAATTACATATCTTAAAACATGCATATTGTAAGGTGCATATGTGAAAGGCTTCACTCATATGTGTCTAATAAGAATATAAAAACAAACTCTTTTTTCATTTTCAATGGTGACTTGATGTCCAAGTTGTTGGAGTAAGGTGACAACAAATCAAACAAAGAAACGTCTGTATTTCTTTATTTGCCTGCTGGCCTCAGCATTTTTCACACTAACACATGTTAACAACCCCAGGTTGCAGAACTCAACAAAATGTGTTAAATATGTTTTTCATCTGCCCATAAGTGTAGGTTATCTGGCTGTCTCTGGCTGGGTCACTTATCTGGAACAAGCATTCAGCAAGTCAGAACCTCTGATCTGCAAATATGTTCTGTTCATGGTTTCATCCACAGAGCCCTATATCACTGCTGGGTCCTGTAATGACATTGAAGTCAGAGGATGGAACCATGGCATGTGGCTGGAAACATAGGCATCCAACACTCTGAGAAGATTCAAATGCTTAAGAGTCTGATGCAGGCTGCAGCACAGAAATTGTGTGATGGTAAGAAACAGGAGCCACCCAAAGGTGAGTATAATACCTCTTCTATTTCAGGGAGCTAGCATTTCTGCTGTCCTGTGACAGCCAGTGTCTTTGTCCTCCAATTCCAAGGGCTGGAATGTGGGCTGGTAGTACTAGCAGTGGCCACATCCCATCCTGATGGCAAGGCCATCATGCACTGATTACAGTGTAAATGTGCTGACACTGACGAGAGGGGTGGTAACAAGAGCAACTGGAGACCACCACGCAGAACGGCTTCAGTGGACCAATTGTCACAACTGAGACCAGTAGGGCAATTGTTTATTTAAAAAAAATAAGCTGCTAAATACTTTGAAGAGATATTTATGTGTCCATAGTTGGGCTTTAACAATTGCTGACATAAGATATCAGCCACCAAGCCAATGCATTGTTTTCAGTGAACTAGCCAACACATAGGGGCATATTTGTAAAGCACTGAACCTGACATTCACCAAACATTTACTGCAGGTGAATCTTCCAGGTGCATGTGTTTTAAATGACAGTGGTTGATTTACCACCAGTGAATGTTAGGTGAAAGTCACATTTACTGATTTATAAATATGTCCCAGAGACTAGCATTATGAGATCAATGTGGAAATGCAGAAAGAAGGTTTTTAAAACATCACTACATACTGTTAATGTTCTTTGTAACAAACTGATCTTGCCTACACTTACATTAAAGGGAGATTGTCAAAATTGGGGCAGACAAAATCTGGAGCAGTTGCCCATGGTATCCAATCAGCTTCTCTCTTCAGTTTGTTCAGTTAAGATTTGAAATGGAAACATGCGAGGTAAGTAAGAAGACACCTGACGCTGACTCGAGCATAAGCCGAGGGGGGGCACTTTTCAGCCAAAAAAATGGGCTGAAAATCTCGGCTTATACTCGAGTATATACGGTAGGTTGTGTTGAGTAAACAGATACCAAATATGTTAGGCTTCAAAACTGCGTGCTCCTGGCAAGTGCCAAAAAATGACAGTGCCCCAAATTATCAGTAGGTGACACTTAAAATGCCATTACAGCTCATCAGTTTAGGGTAAATAAGGGACCTAGAATTACTTATTCCACCTAACTTTTTTGCTACCACAAGGGGGCTCAGAGCTGCGTGCTTTCATATTCCTACATATTTACGATACCTCATTACTTTATTGAAAATAAGATCTCTGTATTAATAAATACATTTATCCTCCAAGCTGGACAGTAAACCATTGTACTAAGTGGAAAGCTCAAACTGCATATGTTATAAACAAATGCAAATATAAATTAACATAGTATAAAAAAAAAACAACAGGTATTAAAAAAACGAATACACACTGGCATAGTGTGCATCATATATGCACAGTGTTTCTGCTGGCAGATCAGCTAAGAAGTATAGGGGTATATGCCAAGAAAGACAGAGACAGATCAATATTAATAACCATAACGTTCTGGAACAGAAACAGCCAATAGACTAAACACAGGAGTTCCACTCTGGTCTGCTGGGGAAAAAAAGTTGCTATAGCATTCTACAAACAATGAAATGACTCAGAAAAATGTGTCAACATCTTGAGATCTCATTAGACTTTTAACCTTGGTTCTTGGATCAATATGTTCTTTTTTGATTTGTGTTTGTGTGTAAATCTGTCAGTACCTCGTTTTGGGATAAATAGGGGAAAGGATAAAAAGGGGAACCTCTGTCAGCTTTTTTTTTCTGCTTGTCCTTGATGGGGAGATTTCACCACTGTTTTCTGTCCCTAGGACATTGGGGTTAATTAAATAAAAGCCAAATAGGCTGTTCACTTTGCAAGGGAATTTTCCCTTAGCTTGAATGCGGTGAAGCTCTGTGGCCTTCCATCGTCCAATCACGTGCAAGCAAAAATTGTTTTTTTAAATCTTTTTATTTCCTTGCACGTGATTGGGTATTCCTTGCAAAGTGAATAATTACCAAATTCCCTAAGCTAAGAGAAAATTCCTCTGCAAAGTCAAAATTCCCTTGCAAAGTGAACAACCTTTTTACCTTTAGTAAATCAACACCACTGTGTTAACAAGACAGGAAACCATGGAAAGTCTTCCACAGACAGCAATAAAAACCTGACAAGGGTTCTAGGTTCTCCATACTCTACATGTATGAGTGTTTTGGCTAGAGATACGCTTTAATAAATCCACTGACAATTACTGCAATATGAACTTTGCAGGAAAATATTGGAAAAAGTTTCAATGGCATGTTATGATAAGCTTTCAGCTAGGGTTACCATCTTATCACTGAGAAACATAGAGGATGCCATCATTGCTAACCTCTTCTCCTGAAAATATCAGTTGTCTGGCTGTGATGATGACTTTTCTCCATCATTCCTTATTTATAAACGTGTTCCAAGTCAGTATAGCAGCCAGGCCACTAGTATTTTTAGGCGGTGGTCAGCAACAGTAGCCCTGAAGTTCTCTAAAGACAGGTTTACTTTACAACTTGAGAGTTATAAATTACACAGGCAGCATAGCTGATTGAGAGCAGGTAAGGCAATGACCGAATCAAATTAAGCCTTTAAGAAGCCTCAGAACCTGTGTAATTCATATATGTCAGGTTTTAAGGTATATGGTGGGGACCCTAATGTTAGCACATTTCATACTGCAAACAATCTGTGCATAATTTACCTGCTCGGCTTGCAGTTCTGCCTCTTGTCGTTGTCTTTCCCTGTGGAGACAGGTAATCCACATTTGTACATTACTGCACTGTTTTTACTTTTATAGCTAACAGCATTTAACTGAAAACTGTAATTTGACCAATCATTTGCAATACCATAGTCCTTACTAAATAGAAAAAGCCTATTTGCATAGTTGATGCACAAAATTTTTTTAAATAAGCAGCAGTAGGTTTTCCACTATTCACCTGGTATTACCAATAGCTGCTTGTTTTACTAAGAATTGTTAAAGCATCGGGCTTATGTTTTTCATGATTGGGTTCAGGAATTCTGGGGATAGACCTCCTAGCCATGTGAACCACTACAAAGGTTCCCTGGACCCTCACCTGTTCACTAAGATGCTAGTTAAAGTAAAATATATTTCAGGATCATTCCTACCTACAGAAGCAATGGGAGGGAAGGTGGGGTTTACTGTAAGGGGTTTCAAACCCATTGCTTTGTAAATGAAGTCTATACCCTTCTAACCTTCAAAACATTTTATATTTACCACCTGTGGCAAGCAGGAGGAGCTCTATGGCCCTCTGTAAAACTCAATCTCTCCAACGAGATCCATCACTCTAGGAATTCTATTCCTTATTTTGTCAGCTGTATAAACCTTGAGGAATCACCATCTCTTTCTCCAACAACTTAACTAAGTAATTAATACAGTCTGACAGATAGCATAAAATGTAATGCTTGTCTTTCTAATTAGAAAGCCCAGTACATTTTCAAAACATTGTGTTATAAATGAAATAAATATCTATCTGTAAAAAAAAAAAAATTGATACAAATAGTTAACATGAATTAAAACATGAAATGTGTACACTCTAAATATATTACAAAACTAACCAAAATTATAGTTTGACAGCTGTAACACCACCTAGGCATTTAACAAACTGCAGAACACAAATAATACTTTTTTTTCCTCTTTCTTCCTTCTTCTGATTTTTTAGTGATAGCTGTATCTGAAATCCTAAATTCACCTCACTCCTAGTTTATTAATCTAAATTCCAAATGTCTGTCATATTTATAATATATTACAAGTCAATCATTTTAATCAGAGAATAATTCAATATACAGAAAATGCCCTTGCCCATACATCAAGGTCTTATTACACCTCTACGTGATTCAGTAGTCTTAGTACATCAATCGTAATGGAAATTATACACAACAGCATAAGTGCAGCAAGCTAGAATCTTTTTACAAACAAACCATACCTACAATTTGTACCTTTGCCTTAAAAAATTTAATGCTTTGTAAATCTGCTGGTAATAAGTAGATGTGCAGAGCATGCACCGCTATTTCTAACAGGAGACAAGGGGCCCGATAAACTATGGCTGGCGGTTGTAGAGAATGGTGAAGTCTCGCACAACACATCTGATTGTGGCACATTTCATATAAATTATTATGTTGCAGTGCAAATAGTTTATTAGGAGCAACCATTCTCTTGACTGTTTTGCGCCATCATCCTCTTGGTGCAATACTACATACCTCTGTTTTGCCAAATACCAACAAACTAATTTTGTGAACAATTATTTGGTCCAGATCACTTTTTTGCAACATGTTGCACTTTAGGATTTTTTAACAGTTGGAGCGCTAGTCACATCTTCCCTTTGAAATCTTTCAACTTGAACAATACGTTGTCATATTCCATAAATCAATGTTATGTGCACCAAATATTTGGTGCACCATCAATAGTTTATTGGGCCCAACAGCTTTAACTAAAAATAATGTTTAAGTATAAAACATACAGCTCTGTTCCTACAGATAATAAAGCCCTCCTTATGCAGCAGTATAGAAAACACTCCCTAGTTATGTAGATCACATACCTTTCTTCTGCCTCTTTCTTTAGCCTTTCTTCTTCCTGTCTTCTTTCCTCCTCTTTCTTAAGCCTTTCTTCCTCCTCTATCCTCCTCCTTTCTTCTTCCTCTCTTCTTTTCTTCTCTTCCTCTTCTTTCCGCTTCTGCTCTTGGAGCTGCTTGTATAAACGTCGGGCTAGCTGCCCACGCAGCTGCTTTTGGAACGTCAGGGCAGCCTTTTTGAGACGTAAATATTTTGTCCTCCACAGGAAAGCCCGATAGTTCTTCTGTATCACCACAATGTAGTGGAGTACCTTTCTGTACTGCTTCCTGAATAGACAAACAACAAGCTTGTTCCACACACCAGAATCGATAAAACATAATCTATTCTATTTATGCTACTTGGTTACAGCAGGTGTCACTTGCAGAGGAAAAAACGAAATATAAATGACACCCACTATAAAAGCCATGCACAGTCTTAACAGCAGTTAAATTCTGGCTAAGCTAATATCAAACACAGCACTATCTTTCTTTACTCTGACATGACAGTGTCTTGTAAGAGAAAGAATAAGCTCTGATATATGCCATGCTAACAGAAGAAGTAATTACACACAGCAGGATGCCTTTCTCGGTGACATATTGTCTTATATGTACAGCCAGGGCTCATATGCACATGAAAAGAGATGACCTCATTATGCAAACAGCTATTGAACTGTCTACCATTGACTTTTTGCAGACGTACAAAAGTAAACAGATGCCTGCTATTGGTCAAGATTTAATACATAATGTATGATACTTTGTTATCTAAGCTTACAAAAACCTATACATAAAGGCATTAACAAAAACACTTCGGCTATTCATTATTTAAAGATAGTTAACTAACATTTTACCAATGTGAGGATATAAAGGGCAATTTGAAAAGTGCATGCTGGCTTCCATAGTACAAGTGATCAGGTTTCAGAACTGCACCCTTGATACACTACAGGGGGGATTTACTAAAGTAAAATAGATTCATGTCAACCTGTTTGACATGATCAGATTGCACAAAACATAACAATTACCATATAACAGCCGAGCCGAATGCCGCTCAGCGGCATTGGGCTATTCACTCACTGCTGTTCGGCATCTTTAAGAATAGCCCGAACAGCAGTGAGAAGCCTGCCGGAGGTTCGGCTCAGCCGATCCAGATGTTGGATCAGTAGAACTCCTTCTGCACTTCGGATCGGCCGAACATGCTGAGTATGTTCGGCCGACCCGAAGCCACGTGGAGCAAGCCGATGTACGGCTGATTTAAGCCGATGTATGGCTGAAATCAGCCGTACCAGCCTGAAGTGAATAGCCGAACAGTGTTCGGCTCACTTCACTTCAGATCGGTCATTCACTCGGCTGCCCTCGGCAGCTTAGTGAATAGACCCCATAGTGTACCTGAACTGTTCTACCATGTTGCATGTGGTCACCCACCGCTGTCTTTATAAATTTTACAGACAACTGTTTAACAGGTCTTTTCATTTTTTTTCATTTGTAAACTGGACATTGCAGCTTCTTAATTTTAAAGAACACATTACAGTTCTGAGGAATGTGTTCTTGATTCATAAACAATATATACTAGTCACTCCTGCAGTTTAATAGCTAAAGTATGTTTCACGTACCGTGCCACAAAGCCCATAATGTGTGATTGTATTATCAAGGCTGCCTTGAAGACCTCAACCTCCCGCTGCTTTTCCAATTTGTGCTCCAAGGACTCTCGCAGGAAGACCTGTATTCAAAATAAAACATGGAGTAATTTTTTTTTTTAAACTGCAGTCATTTTTTTAGAGCCCCTCCCTGCTCTTTACTGACTCAACAAAAGACTTCTAAATGCAAACAATGGATTGATGCCCTTTAGGTTACAAGACAACAACAGTAATCCTTCTATGAAACATCATTATTTTCCACTGAAAAAAGCACACTTGAAATTAAATAAGAATCCCAATGTCAAATTGTTATAGTAACTTCCAGAGACAAAACCCTTTATACCAACACTTTAATAACACTTCTCTTTCAGAAGACAAGGACAACCTATAATTTAATTGTTCCAGACTTTTTGGATTTTTATTATAGTTCTGAGAAAATTAACCAATATATAGTATAAAAATATAAACAGACAGTAATATGGAATGTGATATTTCACAAAAGATGGATTTATTATGAAGCGGATCACATTTTAAACCAGAAATAAAAATATATTTCTGGGGCCTTAACCCTAAAACCTGAGCCTGTCCCTGAAAAATCAAGCTCAGTTGATAATGATACGCAAAGAAAGATAAAAACATAAAATGCATACTATTTATATGACTGAAATGTAATTTCTGCAGAAATACTTGTTATTATTGTATTTATACATTACAATTACATGCTAGCTAGTCTTGAAATTCACTCTTGGTATTAGAGTGGCTGTATCTGTGTATGTTTTACCAATGGAAAGAGAGAGTGATTAATACAGTGTGCTGAATCAAAGTTTTTTTCTGTAAAGATGGCACCAATGATTTATCCGTGACAGGAAGTTTTTAAATAGGGATAATTCCATTAACAACAGCAAACCAGAATACAGGGTCTGTTATGGGGTACATGTGCCCTGACAGCTGCAGTGGGCTTCCTATTACACTCTTTAGTTTGAATGACATCTGAGAGAGAATTATGTTTTTCATACTGCTGTAATGTATAAATATATTATACAAAGCAATAGTTTACACTGATTGTTCTTCATTGGCTTACACAATGGGGGATCATTGATTATAAATACCGCTTTAGGATTCTATCTGAAAACATTTGTCTCTGAACCAGCCATAGGAGGTAACACCTGTCACATCTGTGACTAGGACCCAGGGAAGTAAGCTTCATGCCCTATTGCCCACTGCCTCACAGCCCATCTGCCATTACATGTGTTAGTCTTCCTAAGACTACTAAGTACTGCGTCATGAGGAATAAAAAGAAGAGAATTAAGCGCTGTGTTTTGTGTGTTTATGCACAGGATATCTGCTTTTCCTCTGCACATTGTATGGGAGAATTCTGTCTGTTATAATGGGGGAGGGTGGAGTGCAATTGGAGGGACTGGCTCAGATTCTGTAGGGTCAAAACATAACCATAAACAATAAAGGTGATCAGCGCCAGTAAGTGTAATGTGAAAATAAGAGATATGTATGATTATTAGCTCGGCACAATATTGTTTTTCACAAAACATAACCATGCTATCATTTCTGAAAGACTATAGAGATAAAATTAACATATTTTGAATCATCTTATCATCATGTTGCTTGGGTCATAAGTGTTACATAGCAAATAAAACAGAGTAGAGAACCAACTACAACAGACATGTGACTGCTAAACTATTACTATTTTACACTAGTGAATTATATTATTACAAAAATGTTACATCGTTAGTCAGGTTGAAAAAAAGACACAAGTCCATCGAGTTCAACCTATAGCGATATGAAAAAAAAAGAAAAGAAGAAAAGCCTAAACAGAACACTAGGCCCACAATTACCCCCTGTTGATCCAGAGGAAGGCAAAAAACCCCTATAAAGCATGGTTCAATTTGCTCCAGAAGGGGGAAAAATTCCTTCCTGATCGCATAAGGCAATCGGATATTCCCTGGATCAACAATCTCTGGTGCTTAATATACATATAATAACTCATTATAGGTATAATACTCATAATACTCACTCAGTAATATTCTGTGCATTTAGGAATACATCCAGATGTTTTTTTTAAATAGTTAACTGAGCGAGCTAGAACTATGTCAAATGACATATGTTGTTATTATTATTATTATTAACACCCTTTTTGTAAAAATTGCGGACAGGTGTTACAGGGTTCTCCTGTTAGAAAATTATTATGTTACAGGGTTCTCCTGTTAGAAAATTATTAGCGTAAAGCGTTGTTAGCTGTTGCTATGCTGCCATGTGCCAGAAGGGAAGGACAACACTATCCAAAAAACACCTATCCAGCATGCGGTGCAAATCCCCTTTTCTCTCTACATGTAAGTGCAGTAGCTGCAGAGAGTATTTAATACTAACAGTCTTGGGCACTCTTATTCTGCAGTTATATACAGTATGGTGAACAGGGAAGAGGTTACATCCAGATGTCTTTTGTGTTTGATTATGAAATGTGCTGAGAGAGAAAGTGTGAGAATGTATTACAATGATACATTTATCAGCAACGTTCATGTCATACGGCTGCCTTAAGGCAAACATACCTGCAGTTAACATAATATGCAATTTTATACACTGTCATTTATGTATGAGATTAGTGGTATGGGTTCAATAACAAAAGGAAAACTGGTTTAGGATGTGTTCTAGATTATATGCATTAGGGTTGATGTACTAAAGCAAATAAACATTGCTAGCAATATTGCACCACTTAACTGCAAGTTTGTACAGCGACTAGTGCTTAAAGCCCACGGGCAAACAATTGCAGTGGGGCTACCCCCACACTGCAAGTGTAAATAGCTTGTTTTTGAAAGCATATTTACTTACCTAATCCCCACTCCCACCAGCTCTGGACTAGCCAACAGCCTGAAAGGCTCTAGTCCACGCAGCCCCTTCTTCCCTAGGTTCTGGCACCCTAAGGACTACAGATGTCATCACATCTATGCACGTCTAATGCAGGTTCCATGGACCTGCATTAAAGAGCACTAAGGGACATTCCAACAGCCAGAGCAGAGAGGGAGAAGAAGATAATAGCAGGGTACTTGCAAGAGTACTTTTGCTTGCCCACAGATGGGCTTTAAACCTATGTGTGTGCCATTAAACAAAAGCCGTACATACAATGTGGTTTTATTCCTACATGGTACACACCACAGTTTAGCTGGAGAACATTCAGACAAACCCTGAGAGTGAATGTCTACACATTGTTGGTACAAAGTACGTTCTGTGATGAAAGGATTTACTTGTCTATGCATGATCAATATGCTTATGTATGTGCATATCCTTTAGTAAAACAGTCCCATTGCGACACATTATCCATTCACTACAACGAGGTGATGACCTGCAACAATCTGATTTACTAAGCTTGTGAAATATTTACTAAGATCATGTGATTGCTTGCTTTGCAGGAAATTATTTATAAACAATTAATCCTTGCCTATTAATTTGTTAATTTATCACCCACAGTAACCCTTGGGTGATCGACTGAGCATGGTCATGTTTGTTCCTATGAACATGCATTTACAGGGCATACAGCAAGCAAGAATCAGTTTGGAAGCATGCAAGACAGGCCATTGCTAGCTAGCAATCTGAACACAGGTTTTGTTAAACCAGTCCCTCAAACTGCTAATAATTCATTGTGAGGGAAAACTGTCAATACCATTACCTTAGTCTTTCCTAGCTGCCATTCTTTGTTAGTTGTGTCAATAAGATGAAGTAACGTCTCACATTTGCATTTCAAATCTTCGGGAAAGGTTACATTTCTCATTAGCACTTTATACCTAGAAAATGTAAAAAGACAGAAAAGCAAATAGCAGACCCTGAGAATTCAAAATTGTTATACAATCTATCAAGCACACATACACAACACAGAAAGCAAGAGAAGAATTGAAAGCAACACATGAGGATAGACGACAAGTATATTATGTTTGCTGATTTGTAAAATATTAATTTGCCCTCTCCTTGGCCTTTTGGGTACAGCCAGCACAGTTCATGTCCTCTTTGAGTCCCTTAAAATTGTTATTAAAACCATGGGGGTTATTCACAAAAGGGTGAAGAGTTTGGAGCAGGCAGGAGAAGTGAACAATCTAGGACAATATAGCTGAACTGGAAAGTGAGCTGAATTGGAGAATCTTTCCAAATCAGCTATGTTGTCCTAGATTGTTCACTTGTCCTGCCTTCTCTAAACCCTTCACCCTTTTGTGAATAACCCCCATGGTTTTAATATCTCCAATTCAGCTCACTTTCCAGTTCAGCTATGTTGTCCTAGATTGTTCACTTCTTCTGTCTTCTCCAAACTCTTCACTCTTTGTGAATAACCCCTTAAGAATAAAAGTCAGACAATTCATTTATCTCCAGTTGCAGTGACAGGGAGCACTCCAGTACCATACTTCACCAACTGCTGTCCCCCTGAAGGCACTGCTTAATGTAATGGTACTGTACTGTAATGTGTACCGGTAAATAGTACCGTACTTTACCACGCTGTCCACTGTCTGATGTCCCCACTGCTGCACCGCTGTACCACTGTCCCTGGTGACAGCACTTTAGAAAGCAAGGCTGCGCCGGCAGAGGGAGCAGAGCCGCATTAGCCAATATTCCTCTATAGCGCCAGTTACTGTGAAAGGCGGAGTGATACCAGATAACTTTGGATTGTGGTATTGTTGTAAATTTTTGTTGCACATAAAAAAAAAAAAGACATCCCTTAAAATAAGACCTAGTGTGGTTTTTGGGGGCAAAAAAAAATATAAGACACTTGTTCGACTATTCACTTCCGGCTGGTACGGCCGATTTCAGCCGTGCATCGGCTGAAATCAGCCGTACATCGGCTTGCTTCGCATGGCTTCGGGTCAGCTGAACATGCTCAGCTTACTATTGGCTATTACAAATTGAAATAGCCAATAGGAATCTGTCAGAATAAAAAAAAAAGAAACAGCAGTGTTTCTCTCCTTAGCGGCCGGGAGCAGGAGACTCCCGGGGCGCCAGGGAGAGTTTGCTGTTTGGAGATCAGTGGGTAACCAGGGACGCTGATCTCTCTGCAAGTGGCTGGAGCCAGCCGTAAGATCACGGCTGGCTCCGCCCAGCTTCAGCTTTCTGCACGGCTCAGCCGAGCCGAGGCATTTGCGTTCGGCTCGACTGAGCCGCTCGGCCACGTTCGGGAGCTGTACGGGCTATAGTGAATAGCCCGTACAGCACCCCTTCGGTTCTACTGAACTAGGCTAGATCCTTCGGCAGCTTCGTGAATAGACCCCAGTGTCTTATTTTCGGGGAAACACGATACCAATAGGGAGGTCTCACTTTTTTCCATTTCTTCACTAGAGGGAATCTTCCAAATGTTTGACCAGATGCCTTTTTTGTATGTTTTTCTTACTAAGCAAGAAATATTGATTCTTGTTGGCATAGCAAAAAGCAAAAGTAAAGCCTTTTTATCAGTATTGCCTGTAGGCTCTCTGCAGCTGATCTTTTTCACATTACTGACTTATGTTATTACTGACTATGCTTTGTTTTGCATTGGTGGAGGAAGGGAGTTGCTTTCTCATATGAGAGCTGCTACCTCCTTATGACAGATGATCTGATGACTGGTGAAGTAATAATCAAGAAGCAGCAGCAGAGGTGCTGAAAGCACACATGTACAGAATCATGGAAGTGGAAGCAGCGGGATACTTGCACTGCAGGTCTTCTGGTATTGCTTCCTCTCCGGCAAGCAAACAACTTGTAAGACAAGCAGTCACAGGTATGATGTCTTAGATCTCACACTCCAGTTATAAAGGTGTGAGATTCAAGGAACAGAAAGGGCACTGACATTTTTTCAGGAGGAATTCAAGACAATAGGTACATTTTTCCAGCGACTTCTTAGGCACTAGTAACATTTGTAGATGTTACCTAAAGGCAAACAAATCTTCACTTATTTATTTATGGTCTACTTTAAGCCATAGATAATAAACCATTCTTTGGTTTAAACACTTTAGTTTGACAATTGAACATCTGCAGGCACCAGCAGACATATCTGGCCATATTATCAGAAGAAAGACTGAGTGGGCAGGTTAAAACAATCATCACTGCTGCCGTCCAGATAAGTTGCTGCCAAAGTTACCTAGTCATGAATCTGCTTGTCTGCTCCATTCACATAAGCATATATGCTTTGGAAAAATCTGTGTGTATACAGTTACATTAAAAGCCATTTGATAAATAAGCCTCTTAATTCAACTTTAAATTGCAATAGATTTAAGAGGGTGATTCACCAGCAGTGAAGAGTGTGGTAGATTGTACACTGTCATTTAAGCAGTCTTTCACCTGGACCTATACAAATAAGATATTTACTTTATCAGTAACTGCCATCTCATTTCTATGGGAGCTTTCTTAGTCCAAAAACAGAAAATAATGTTGTGAAATGTCATAGATAACAACAAGAAGTGAGTTTGCATGCTGGCCTGGGTTAAATAATGTATCAGCATTATATGTTAGTTCAAAAGAAGATGTGTACATATTTGTATAACAGAATGATATTTTGGTGTGTTAATCTCTCACAAATTTAAAATTGCAAAGCGTGATGTAAGAAATTATAAGACTTTATAGCAACCAATCTTCTTTCATTGATCCAACTAAACCAAGGTGACATTTTGGATGTTGCCATGAAGACTATAAAACATACTGTAGCCTTTTGCACTGGCATTATATAAATATATACAGTGCACATATAATAGTTTCTATTGATAATAAATAGAGTGAAACTATGGTACATTTCCCAAAGAAATAACAACTTAGGATGGAGAGACTTACCTATAACAAAAATCTTGAAATGTTATTCTGACAGGAAAGCCTGCTCTGCGGATCCTGACTGTCTCCAGCATGCCAGAGTACCTTAACTGGTTCAGTACCAGTGTCTGATCAAACTGGTCAGGCATCTGCAGAAAGAAGCAGATTGTTATTGCAAACAAACACATATTTTTCTTGAGGCCCTTCAAAGAACATCATGTAATATAAAAAAAACAGAAACAAAAACAAAAAAACCCCCACAAACCAGTTATAGTTAGTAATGACTGACACTGTGGTAAAGATCTGATACTATTTTGTCTCCCAGCCAAGACTGGATTAAACACTGCAAACATCTAACAGCTAAAAACCAATATAAACTTTGAAGACAACTAGAGGTTTATTTGAACAAAGAATTCCAGGAATTAGCTTGTGAAAATTCAAGACACACAAAGTACTGCAAATGAGTGCTGTGAATAGGTCCTTTATTAAACATATGAAGAAAATGTGCAGTAATTGCCACCAATATTGAGCAAACTAATTTAGCCATTTGGGTTGACTTGGTCTTTTCTTTAAATCAGAGATGGCAAACCAGGCATCCTGCTCATTTTTCATTGTAATTGTTCTCTCTTTCATCACCCACCTACCATCGGATGGCAAAGTACTCAAAGCGTCTTGTAGCAAATGAATACCACTCATGGCATACTGCTGTGTACATTATACTATAAAAAGTAGGGAAATTCAACACTCAGTTTCCAAGACAAAATCATTCTTATTCATCCAAAGAAAGCAGTTAAGATTATAAGATAACTACAGCATCCTTCTCATACTATTTTAATCGTGGTATTAGATGTATTAATGTAACTTACCTTCAATGAAAACACAGTACATAAAAGCACAATAAAGTTATCCTTCCCCAGAAATCCCAGTTAAGAGCTCATTTCTGCCTTGCATTGATTTTGCCTCTTCACTACATTTATTTGAAGAACAAGATGCACAGTGACCTAGAGCAGTGAAATGAAGAGAGTGGGCTATAATGAACAACACAGCTGGTCCTTCCATGTGCTCTGTCACCATAGTAACACTTCCCATTCTAAGGAAGCGCATTGTATAACTGTGATGATCTCTCAGGGGCCTCTTTGACCCAGGGAAGTTACTGGACATACGAAATCTGGGGAAGCCAACCTTGTTATTTGATTAATTTAGCTGTATGAATTTTACCAGCTTGTTTTCAATATTAGGTATCAAAACAAATGTTGGGAAAATTCCAGTAATGCATTATTACAATATAGTTATTATATGTAGAATAGTCTATGTAACATACCCCCAACTGTCCCTCATTTAGAGGGACTGTCCTGATTTTGGAACCAAATACCTCTGACCAGGGCCGGTGCTAGAATCCTTGCCTACACAGGCAAGGTGCATTTTTGCGCCCCCTCCCTCCCCGACCCCTGTAAAAACAGGGCATTTTGACAAGTACTTGTACTTGTCAAAATGCCCCGATGTTTGCGCTATGGTTTGTTTTTTTTAGCTGGCCGGCGACTGCCTGAGGTGCCACGCGTGTCGGGATCCTCTGGCAGTTGCCGGCCAGCTAAATTAGGACCCCACCTGGAGCTCCTCCCACTAGACCAGCGCTGACTCGCCGCTGCTCTCCCGCATCAAAGGTAAGTGGAAAAAAAAACATAGCGCAAACATCGGGCATTTTGACAAGTACAAGTACTTGTCAAAATGCCCTGTTTTTTCCACCCTCACCCTGCAGCGCCCTCAGGCGGCCGCCTGACTTGCCTTGCGTTAGCGCCGGGCCTGCCTCTGACCATCTTTCCTCCTTAGCTGTCCCTGTTTTGGGCTGATGTACAAATATCCTTTAAAAGTTACTATTTAACTACCAAAAGTGTTCTTATGCACTAAAACCTTCATCCTATCTTTTAATTATTTTGCTTGCCATTTTTAAAAGTCAAAATGAAGGAGATGTAATGGTGGAAAACAACAATTCTGGGTTTAACCAATAATTTTTGGCATACCAATTATTGATGGTCCACATAACTGGGGAAGGGGAGTGTCCATTGCCTAAATACATTGTGCTAGATGATGTCCCACTTTCTTATCTAAGAAAGTTGGGAAGCATGTATTTAAACCCTCGTTCCCCCTGCTCTTTCCCATAGGAACTATTTAACAGCAATACCACAAAAACAAGAATGGGAACTTGATTCCTGAACAGGATATTACAACCTGGCACACCATTGACAAGCTTGTTCCACCTTTCTCTCAAGTCACTCAGTTATGTTTTCTTTTACTGACAGCTGGTATTTCTTTACATTGCATACTAAAGTCAGAAAGGAACTTGTTTCCTCTATATTTTGTTCATTCTCTATTCACTTCACATTCAGAAACTGTTTGAGAAAACAGTACAGAATGTCCCTGAAGCATTAACTCAACTTAAAAATCTATAAAATCTACATGTTTTTTTCTGAAATAGACTGATTATGAAATACAAGAATGTCACAGAAACACTAATACAATGCATTTGTTAATAGTGTTCACTGATCTTGCTATAAGCTGGAGTAAAACAGGTAATCTGAAAGATCATAATGTTCTACCACATTAAGTCACCTAAGGATGCTTTATATCCAGAAAATAAGGGTATGGTATTGATGTGTCATCCTTGTAACAGTTTTATGGTCTGTATTAATCACTAAATAACCAACAGTGATTAAAAAGGAGCTCCAACTTTATTTAAAGAGGAACTTTGAGCAGTAGAGAACCTAACTCTTGCAGTGGGGCTACCCTGCACTACAAAGGTTAAGTGCTTGTTTTTGTCTGGGGTCTAAAAAAACAAAGATATACTCACCCAAACCTCAGCTGCTACACTGGTCCCTGCAACCTCTCTCCCCCTCTGCTCTATGGATAGAATGTCCCTAAGCATCCTCACGTCCAAAACACTGCATTGGACGTGATGACTCACGGGATCTTAAACCACTGGAGTGGAGGGTGAGAGGGGCGGCAGGGATCAGTCTAGCAATCTGAGGTTCAGGTGAGTATTTATTTGTTAGTTGTTTTCTACTGCCCGGGAGTTCTTCTTTAATTGTAATGATTTTAGCAAGCGTAGTTCTATATCTATTTTTCTATATACTTCATATACTACAAACAGTGGTTTCCTATGGCCTTGTAAAGATGTTCGGAAGCACGGTTGTTGCAGGGAGGACAGGGGCATTGCAGAACTTGTCAAAGTGTGTAGCAAACCAACCATGAGTCTGTTTTTTAGTGTTTGCTCACCTGCTTAGCACATGCAGGGGCTAGAGGCAGGGGTGGAAACCGACCTCCCCAATTAATATGAGCGTATGTTTTGAAAATATGGATACAAAATCTTGCAAATGTCTAAATCTGTCATATGTTTGTAGGTAGCGCACTCCAAAGGCAGTGGAATAGTGTATCACCGTGTGTACAAATTGCATGGACCATTGTTTCTGTGTGCACTGAGATTTGCTGACCAGGGCTATATTTATCCTATTATATATACAGTAATACCTTGGTTTACGAGCATAATTCGTTCCGGCAGCATGCTTATAATCCAAAGCGCTTGTATATGAAAGCTTTTATGGCAATCAGTATTGATCAGAACTGAATGATAATATGTGCACTAAGCATCCAAGAAACAAGTAGAAGCCATCCCACCTTTACCAGCCTTTAGTATGTCTCATTAAACTGTCCACATAGGCTTGTCGTTATAGGTCTTGCTACTCTGCTGAACATGCTGCATTTTTTTCTACCGCTCAGGTACATTTCCTTTTCAAAGCATTGCCAGTAAAAGCTTTGTTCTGCAGGGAATCACCTTTGATCACAGACATTTTCTAGCAGATTCAGTTATTAAAAAGCAATTCCAAGCAACAAATTAAATCACTGAACTATTACAGTTATCAAGGAAACGCTGCCACTATTTTTAAGTCAGAAAGTCAACTGAAATTACCTTACTCTGAGTTCTGTGTAGACCATAGCATTTAAATTCCATGCAGCTCCTCACATCGAGGATGAATTGGTCTGATACCTGAATCTGAGCCATGGCATGGCCTCTCTATACTATCACCAATGGTATTTTGTCTTCCCCAAAAATTATTAACCTGATTGATACTGGCAATGAAGCAAATTAGTGCCATAAATCCCATCAGATGCAGTCACTGTTTGGGTATTCAGACAGTTGTGGGGGCTGTCTGAATACAATAGCTGGCAGGATAGGTTCCCCCACCCACTCTGGTTAGTATTAATGGAGGAATTGAAATGGAGGAATTGAATGATTCCTCTTGCTTAGCCCACATGGCTGAAACAATGTTATCCTCCCTCTATAAACGACTAATTTCCCCATCCTTCTTGTAATGAAGATGAATAAAGGCAAACATGCTCGAAGTCCAGCCTGGGTGATACCCATGGCTCCTTCCATAGATACAGAGGAGGGGTGAGCATAGTCTGCAAGAAGTGCATTATTAAAAGGATTTCCATGTTAAAAAAAGGGAAATAAGCCTGAAAGAAAAAACAAATGCAGCAACCTCATCTGAGGACTTGTAAACTGCATTATGTTACATTTTTGGTTTGGGGTTCAAATATGTATTGAATCCTATATTAACAACAAAAATATCTTCAATATATTAGCATGTAGCAAATAATTCAATATATTAGCATGTAGACCTTTTTTGTCCCTCGACAATGCATGTGGTATGTTGTTACATACACACGTTGGAAATCAATGTAGAAAAATGAGATGCTGCACCTGTGCAGTATGTCACCCTTTCACACAGATTCAGAAAGGGTGGTAACTTTAGATCCTGTTTGTATTACTAGCATCAAAGGGAGCACTTGAGAGATTAAAAGGAGATGAATCACAGAATTCATATAAATAATAGGAAACTTCATTATACCAAACTGTTTGGCGTTCAAAGACAAAGCACAGCTTTCCTGTGAAGCGTGTCTGTTAATGTTACCTGAGGTCACCAAAGGACTTGTGCAAATAAAACTTGTAACTTTTAGTGTAGTATTGACTTTCAGAATCTGTTAGAAAACTGGGCTGTTTTAAATAATATTTCAGTCCAACCTACATCACCACGCATGTGGTCTTTACAGTCAGTTCTTGAGTACCAAAGTGACTAGCTGGAAAGACACACAC